GTCGTCATTTATGTGTCTCTTCTCTGATAGATCGTGGATAATGACCAATCGCGTGATAATCACCACATTGTATATAATAACTGTAGTTTAAAACACATGCGGTTGCTGCTTTTCAACTCCAAAGTTTCAATAAACCTTGCCACTGACTGGCCCGCTAAGATTTGCATTAGCCACCTGCGGGCCAGTGCACTTCTGTGAGAAATGTAGAATCAAGAAAAAATAGAGATTATTTTTTTGTGAAATAAACATCCTTTAAAGTTTCCATCGTCGTACATTTGGGGAGGGGTGCAGTTCAAAAGTTCGTGACCATATATGACCTTTTTAAGTTCGCTTTATCAGACCTTAACAACATATTTGGGCCAATCAACAGCTAAAAGTGCTTGTAGTAAAAATTGCCCCCTGGATTTTCTGCAAGAATCTAATTAACCTGCCATGATTTGTTGATTTTGTTGACTGTAAAGGACCACAGATGATGTGAATCTGAGTGTACTGCGTTGCTATCTTCTCATTCGTCATTACTGTGCTGCTATCATGTGGTCAGCGGGTATCAAGCCAGCCGAGCCACACTGCACGCTGAAGACGATCCAGATCATGAGAGAGATTATCGAGTCTCCTGTACACAATGCAGATGGCAGCGGTGCTATGCTTGTTATTAGGATTCCATCTGTTGAGCTTGCTAATTTGGCATTTGAGAGCCTGAAAAACACTCGAGACAGGTAAGTTCATTGCATTTGAAGGACTAAACGCTAGCTCTAGTTAGTATGGAGAATAAGAAGCTTTGATTGGTTATTGGTTGCCTTGGGAAACCACGGACTAATCCGTAAAGCTGTTAGCTCTTAATCGATCCCAGGAGCTAGTTGGTCATTTCTCTAAATTGTCTGAAGTAGAGCGGACAGTTAAAGTGTGGACTTTCGAAAGGAAATGTAATGAAATAATTAAAATTAAAGTTTGCAATGTCAGGGTCCTGTTAGATACATTTTGCGATAACTAATGCAAAGAATATCGTTTGTTATCCCTAGTTGTTGTTCGAGGGGTTTGTTATATCATGGTTTCACTATATTCCTCATCATGAAGCATATTAGCCTAATGACTTTTTTTAATAATGTAATTTGTACAGTAGAACGCCTTATAAAGCGAACAATTCGTTAGAATAAATGAATGAAGCGGAGATACTTTCTAAAAATTTGTTTTTATCAACTCACAAACGGTGGGCTGGCTTATCATAACATAGGTGACGGGGCTATAATCGCCGGGCGGCGGCTCGAACCTTCTGCTTTTGAACCTATCAGAAAATGGTGGCCAATTTACCTTAATTATCACCTCAGCTGGTAAAACCAATGTGTTTTGCTAGCTTACGTTCAGATTCGTTTCTGTCAATGCTTTGTAAAAATGGCATCCAGTTACTGGAATGAATTTTGTATCCTTGCTGCTTGAAGAGCTGGATTGCCTTTGATTTCTCAAACCTTTTCCATTTTAGGCTTGGATTTCAGTTTCGATTCGCCATCATCCATGACAATGGTGTTAATGAACTGGAAATTGAGGATTATTTCTTGAATCGTCTAAGACTGTGGAGGGAACAAAGAGGTAGGTGACTAGATATTTCATTTTAGGCCTTTGTAGCCCCCCTCGGGGGGGGGGGGGGGGGTGTGGGGGGGGGGGGGGGGGCAGTTAGTAACTAGCTGGTATTATCGCACCGTTCACCGTTATGTGAACAAATTAAGACTTTAAAACACAAAAGCAATTGCTACACTACTCCGACAGTCCACAACGGGGTGCGGTTGTATTAAAGGCACAGCTTAAGCTGAATACTGGCTGTTTTGTTTCGCGATACAGTTGCTCTTACTCGTTATTTTGTGCCCACTAAACGCTGGCGACGTATTTTGCGTCAGTTCAGAATTGTTTCCCTTGATGGCCTTCACTCTTGACTGGGGTTTTTCTGGAAACATTTGATAGTCCTTGCGTGAATGGTGGTGTTAGACGAATGGATTTGTTTGCGTGATGCAGTGTTAAGACCCTAGTCATCTATTTAGCAAGCAAACAAAACTGCCATGTTAACAAAACACAGAGTTTCCTAAGAGTGAGCAAGGCGACCAAGAGGTTTTCATGGCCTTGTTTTACAATATTATCGTCTCATTTTCTTGTAACATTTTAACTGACAGCAAAATATAGGGTTTGTCATCCGTGGCGGGTGACAAGTAATATGGTTTTGTTTTGATTTACATCTATGCTTTACTATTTCAGGACAGACGAAAGCCAAAAGTAAGCCGGCTGAAAAATGGAACCCTCGATTCTTTGAAGATCTCCACGATCTCCCTTGCATCATCATCGTTAGTGGCCGAGAGAGGCCAGGAGATACGTTTCCCAGGTAAAGAAATGCAGTCAATTGACGTGTACTGTCCAACTTTGTTTGGAATACAAGGCCGGCGCTTTCAAAAAGTCAGAACTGACCGGCTAGACCGGTCATGGTAAAAAAATGAAATTTTAATCTTTTCTTCAAATTTTTACTTCAACCCATCACATCTGTGCACCTCATTTAGGAATTAACTGATCTGGCTGGATAGTTCTGATTAATAGTGGAATTCTCCTGACCACTGGACTGGACCGGGCCAGCCAGTTTTCACAATTTTAAGTGCCCTTAGTCACTAGTGAGAAGAGGTGCCCTGCCCTATGAAGAGTGTTTTGAGAGGTTAGGAAGCACCGAAATGCCTTTTTGCTCAAGAAACGTAGAAAAAGTAGGAAGTACAGGGTTAAGAAAGTTAGACTCAGACGGTCCGAGGACGCACTGAGAGGGACGACGGAGAGATTGTGAGTGAGCGATCTCGGATGGCATGTGAAAATAAGGCCATGAGAAAGTGACCCTCTGTGTGTGTATCCCTCCAGGTCGTTGAAGTACATGGACTTGAGGTTGATAGACAGAGGGTTTGTCTACCGATCTTCATTGGAACTGGAATTCAGTGCGATAGCCTGTTACATTGGTTCTGGCTCGGGCTCGCGAGGTGTCGAGAGCAATGAGCCTAATGGCCAAGCAGACTCAAAAGATGATTCCAATGGAGCAGGCAGTGGTACAGTGTGCAGAACAAGCCATTATTCTTCCGCCTATCCATTACCAGTGATTCTGGTATCTCGCTCTGTGTTCAAGGCCTTCCAAACAGATTTCTATGGTTATCCGAAGCATCTGCTCTTGCCAACGACTCCACAGACGCGATGGGTTGGTCTGGGACGGCCACCCGTTGTGACGTCCAACCCAAGACACCAGTCGCTTTACTACAGGGAGTGGACCGAACCCAAACCCAAACAGGTCCCTGGTCCTCAACAAGATGCCTCCAGCAAGTCAGTCATAACCCTGCGCAGTGCAAGTGGAGTGGTTATCAGTCCCGATATATCGGGTAGGTCTTAACTCTGTTCTAATAATAGACGAGTGTCACGGAAAAAAGAAAGGGAGGGGAAGGGGAAAAAAGCGGGGTGTCAGGAGGGAGGGAGGAAGGGTGTCTGGAGGCGGTTAAGAGCTAGGGAAGGCAAAGTGATGGAGAGGTTCCCCTTTAAGTTTAATGCTTTCTTCATTTTACGCTCTGCAACTCGAAGTTTGGTGAGTGCTTTCTTAGGCATCCTAAGAAAATAGAATCGTTATGAAATTCTTCTTTCCACCATGCGCTGACCTGTTTAAGAACACCGGGTGAATTTATTACGAATACGTGTTTATTTATTTATTTTGGCGTTCACCGAGCATCGTGATAAAAAAAAATTAAAAAGGCTAAGAATTTGGGGATCAGTTAGGGTGGGCGGAACAAAGAAAACTCTGCCTACAGGCCCTTCACTAGTCGGTACCAGAACTACTTGAACACCTGTCGATACAGAGATGAATGTGAATAATAACCATTGAACGTTTTTTATTCAACTAAAAAATCTTTGTTTTGTTGTTATCATGTACTCAGTAGTGAAGCAGCTCCATCATTCGATATATAATCTTATCACAACTCACAATCTCTTGATTTCTTGCCACTAAAGGCTAAGGGCCAAAATATCAGTAAATCTCTCTACGGTGGCAAAATCCTTTCCTATACAATTCCATTTTAGTGCCCATGTAAACAACAAAAAGAGACTAACGCGGGGATACCAATGCCGAAACTTCTAAACTTTTAGTGGGCAAGTTGTTTGAAGACCGATTGTCGCTAACTTGGGTTGAATTTTAATCCGGGTTATCTTTTTCTTTTGTTCAAAACATTTTCCCAGTCAATTTGAACTAGTCATTTTAGAGCGTCCAAGCATCAATTTGTAGGCTAAAAGAATTAAAAGGAATTTTCTTTGTAGGCGTTTATATTTGAATTCAATTTTCGCGCTAATCCTGGGTTACCTTATTCCTGCCGGCTTGGGACCCTGGCCCAACCCTGATGGATTAACGATAAAGTGATCAAGGCTCACCTCTTTCAGATGACCACAGACCATTTACTGCATTGTAAATGTCACTTCCTTCATTTAAACAGTGAAACTTGCCGCTCTTTCATGAACTGTGAAACAGTAAAAACATTTTGGTCTATATAGAAAACAAACTATTACAGTGATCCCCGAAATAATGACCCCCTATACTCCGGGGACACTCGTCACCTCAGTAATAGTTCAATTGTCAGTATGGTACAGGACTCCGATATTTATAACGTACCCGTCTTAAAACCAATACGTTATACTGGGGCCAGTTTCACTGTAGTTGACTGATATGTATTATCATGCTAAACATTAATGTAAGAATTTTTTGGTTGCTCTTGGCAGTTAAAAATTACAGGGATATTTACATCGGGTTGGTTTAAAACAAATCTTCCCATTAGTCGGCAGAAGGCGTTAGAAATCAAATTGTCAACTACCGAAAACAAGGCTGGTTAATAATTCGATAAAGGGGCTCTTTTCAAAATAAACTGTAGTGATTTGTCGGTGGGGAAGTAAACATAACAACTTTGACTCGATCTGACAAAGGGCTAGTGCTCAAAACATCAGATGTACTTTATCAACTCAGTTGATAATACTAAATTATTCTGCGACGAATAATTAGGCTCAGTTGTGCTGCAAAAGCGCCTAGAAAAGGGAATTCATTATTGGCTGTGGATAAACCATCAACTCGTGAAACACGAAGCTGGCCAAAAGTACCTGGCACTTGTTTCTATTGGGGAATCGTTGTAGGTTAGGTTGAGCATGTGAATAATTGTATGAAAATCTTCAGATGTTGTTGAAGAAGATGGGATGTCTGCAGTGGAATCCTTTGCTGAAAGCAACAGAATGGCTTCAGGTGAAGTGATATAAATAAACCGCTGCAAGAAATCCTCGATCTTTCTGTTTATGCACACTAAACGACCGTAAACGAAATTCCTAAGAATGTCTCCTAAAAGATACCCTCGATAACGTTAATGCATAATAGTAAACTGCATGCACTACTAATTTTGCTCCGACATAATTATAGTAATAGACAATTCATTCACTTAAATTTAATCATCTGTCTGTATGTGGTGTTAAGCAATGTGATTCTTTTTTAAATATTTTTTTATTAATGATTTTCTGAACTTTACATACAAAATAAAAGTAGAAAAAAAGGGAAAAAAACAAACATATTTAGTGATAAAAGGCTGTGATCAAGTGAAGCCCACACAGTCACGCACACATTGTAACCTACGATAAACACAAAAAGACACCCACACACACACACACAGAAAGCAACTACAGCAATACAGTATCCTAGTGAGTAATGTACAATATCTTCAAGTTTAATTACAATAATAAGGAAACTTACAATATCAATGAATTATCGGAAACGGCATTGATTAAGTTTCCCTCTTTTTTAGATGAGTTTTTAATTTTAGGATTCTACTGAATGTGTTACGTATATTAGAGACTGCTGCAACGACTTACTTTGGAAGACTTGTTAACATAACTTGGAACAAATATCTGTGAATCAAAGCCAGAAGTTACAAACGATTCATTGACCAACTCTAGGAAAACCAAAAGACAGCAACAGACAACTATACAGCTCGATGTGTATTGTGGTGGTTGAGGAAGGATCGAAACCAGTTACCACATGTGTTTAGAGTCTTCATTGCCGATAACATTAGGCTTAACTGACAGACGACCAATAGCATTGCGAATTAAATGATCAACTAGGTCAATAACCGGAGTTTAATACCATTAACTGACGATACATACACAGCTCACTTTGACTCTGGCAGTAGTGACGACTACTGCACAGGTTGTCGAAACTTCAGACACTGTTCACAACACTTTTACGGAAGGACATATTCAAACTCTTTTTGCTAACATGACTTCAAAGTTCAAGCCATTTACAATGTTAAAATAATTCGGTAAATTGTTCATATTCGGGAGAACGGCCAATAACATAAATCCACTTTGTTTGTTTGCTTTTTTAAATCCTACGCTGTCTCGATATAAACACGCTTCTCTAAACTCACTGGTGCGCATGCACGATATAATAAAGTCTGTTATTAATTCAAGATCCCACCTGTTTGTGTAACATGACAGTACTCTGTGAGAGGTCATTTCACAAGGAGTACTGCAACCGCACACGGAATTGAGACTGGTCAGAAGTCATATTTGATTCTTTTTTCATGCAGGCACTAGTGAGGGAGAGGACAGCAGCAGTGAAGATTCAAAGGCGAGTACAGAAAAAGGAGGAGAGAAGAAAACGGCAAGAGATTCGGACAAAATAGAAAGACATGGCCATCACCAGCCTATCATTGGTAAGATATAATAATTCAAATAAGACAGGCCATAGAGACAAATAGTGTTTCGGCTTTTAAATGCTGTGCCGTTGAAGAACATAATTCAGGAGGCCGGAGCGAACCACAATGTGAGCACAGTTACTCATGGGTAACAGTGGCACAAGTGGTCCTATTACAGCTGGCAAGTTGGCCGCCTGTTACAGTTGCTGCTACAAGTCCACATTCGATGCGTACGAACTAGTATTGGGACCTCATTTTGAGCCGTATTTTGTGCCGCTCCTATCAGGGGAAGCATTGTAACAGTACCAAGAATCTACTCTTTTTTTATCTCCTTTTTTTCAAAATAGTTCAATAAAAGCGATTAAGAGAAATTCTCCAGTAAAGCTTTTTCATTACTCGTTATTACTTATTTTGTACGTAGGTCCCGCTCTCCTGCATCGTCTGTATGGAATGGCACCCAGCTCCCGGCAAGGAGATCAGAATGATGACAAAAGAAAGGTTGAAGCGGAGAATTCTAGGGCTGAAAAGTATCACCCCAGAACACTGCTGTTTAGTGGACCCCCCCAGGTACGCTGGCGAGTAGCAAGTCAGTCATTTGATAGCTCACAAACTACGGTCAAACCTGTATTAAGCGCTCGACCGATCACCCGTGGGCAATGAGTTACTGACCGGGGCTTAATAAAGGTTTTACATACCTATTATAAGAGTTATTGACGAAAATGATGACAGTGAAGGAGCGAAACGACAAAATGACCTCAAAGTCCTTCTTGTGGCAAAAGGAAGGGAATAAATTACCACTAAAGTCCATACACACTCTAATAGTTGCACTGGTATGATAAATCTCGGCAGTGCTCTTTTAATAGTCATGAGGGCAATGGAAAAAATCTCGGTGGGAGCTCGGAAGAGGTGCTGCCATCGCTCCTATCAGTTTTACAGTAGTAAAGAGAAATGATTTCCGCTTGTTAAAGGGTTACCATTAAATAGAGGTTCGCTTAAAGGAACTGCAGTGTCACAGCTGTCTAGTTCATTTTGTTACTATTGCTAATTACATGTCCTTATTTACAGTGGAACTTGACGATAGCAAAGAACTTACTTGCAAATGATAAAATCACTGTTTCGTGTCAAAAAAAAATTGTCCTCCAAGCATTATATCAAAAGTTACTGAGAAAAGGAACGATCTTTGAAAAACGGTTAGGCTAACAAGTTTTAAGAAACACAATTGCAAACCGTTTCAATCTTCCTTACGTTTGACCATCCGTGCCTCCTATTGTATGTGCTGTGTTATCTGTACCTTCTTAAAGTTTTGAGCTGTTATTTTTATGTTTCACTCAATTTGGTGGCGATTTCCACTGTTTCGTTACACAGCTCCTGTTAGACAGGTTTGACTGTTCAGCAAATAAAAGCTTTCTCGTTCTGATAGCTATATTCTATTTATTCATCATAACAGGTGGGTAAAACTCACGCCTACCTTCATTTCATCCGCCTTCTGCACTTAACAGTACAGAAACTACGCCGTGTGGACGTGTACAGTGAAGTCCTGTCTTCCCCAGGGGAAAGCTCTATACAAGACAATTCTAGCTCTTCCGGAGATGAAGCCGACAAAATGACGTGGCCTGTGTACAAAGAAATCTCAAAACTTCCACTCAGTTGTGTGCTAAAAGAGCACAGATACGTCAGCACCAGCAAGCTTCGGATACACCCCTCTTCCGGACACGCCACTTCCGGTGACGTTCCTACCCAATCAACGTCCCTCAAACGGTCGCTAAGACGACCAACTTCTTCTTTGAAGCTTTCTTTCTGGGCTGCGTATGATACTTACCATCACTGCGACGCTTGCAAGAACTATCGGGAGGACAGAGGACCCAGTTCCCCTCTAAGCTATTTATTCGCTCTCCAAGGTGGTGAGAAGCTGAGGTTTTTGATCCCACATCGCTGCTTACGGAGTTTTACTTTCACGAAGGAGAAGCAACTTCGCAGTCTTCGACTACCCGTGGTGCTGACTGGAGGGAACGGGGAATTGATTAAACCGCTTAAGACAGAGTCTGCTGTAAGCGATGAAGATGCAGTTGGTGTGATAAAGAGTCCAATCATGATGCCGAGTACGGGCAGACATGAGTATGGTGAGACCAATCACACAGTTGTTACACATAGTACAGACGTCACGTCTGAGCCAATAGAATTTAAAATTCTTTTCACGTCAGTTATAACCAAATTCTTTTATTTCATTTGCCTACCGACACATCATCTCATTGGTGGCCGCTTAATAAAGGTGACAACAATGGGAGAACTACTCTGGTCGGGGTTGGCAATGGGTGGCCGTTTAATAGTGGTTTAATTTACAACTCTTTCCTACAATTGTTTCGGATCTTTGATCGCTGGCTGCTTAATAGAGGGTGGCCGCTTAATGGTGGTTCAACTGTTTATTGACCACTTCATTCATTTGAGGTAACGACAAGACAAGTTGTAAAGACCTTATATTCGATGCTATAGTTTGCTTGAAAGTAGAAGTTGTTCAAGAAACGATCAGTTTTTCTCTTTAGGTCTTCTAAATCTATATCATGCCATGGAGGGTGAGAACCATATCCTGCTTGTGTTTGTTAAGCACCAAGAAATGGCTTTGTATCACAAGGCCTGGCCTAATCACGTGATTGTCGGTCTACCTTCGAACGCTGATAATCTGGGCCTGGGTGCGGCTCGCTATTACATCAAGGTATGTTTAAGTTGCATCCTGTTCCGTTAGTAGTACAAAAAAAATACCAATAGTTACTCTTGTCATGAAAATCTGTTTTACAAACTTTCTGAGCGTAAAAGCTGAGGAAGTAAATCTTAACGCTTGTTCGTTTGCTGGATGTTCGCCTTAACAAGAGCTGAATTTATAAAACAAGGCTGACATTGCTTCAGAAGATTTGACAAGCTTACGCTTGCCTGTAACGTGTTAACAAGATTTGTCATGTACTTTCATGCGATTTTTTTCGCTCGTGGGAAATATCGTTACCGTGATATAAATACCATTTGATATCATCTGTAGTCTTTTTGTCGTTTGTAATTAATTGCTTAATTTTCTTTTTCATTTGTTACTTTGTTACTTATTTAGGAGTTTGCCACAGAAAATTGGCTTGTGGAGCGAGATCGACACGGAGTTGAGAACAAGCATGGTCAAGATGTGTGGCCGTTTATCTTCATGATGGATGATTCATGTGTTATGTGGCAAAACCATCTTCTGAAACAATCTGCCAAGAAGTAAGTTCTTCTGTACACATATCGTTTTAAGGAAGCTGTGCAAAACTCAGTTTATTCTAATTCCACAATAAGAACACTTAGGCTCCAACACCTCCAGAACATTCCAAGCTTCAGTGGCAGAGGTCTGCTCTCAAAGCGTCAGCCTGCTTTAAGGTGATGTTACACGGGACGATTCGCAACAACGATTTTTGCGCAACATAGCTTTGCAATGCTAGAGGATCATGCTAGAGCAATGTTGTAACCATTCGAAACAATGCTGCAACGTTATGTTACGTTAAAAGTCGTCGTTGCAACTCGTCTCCTGTAACATCACCTTTACTTGACGCCGCATCACACTTGAGTAACAATCTAACCTTTTGATCTGTTTGAGTACTAAAGTATTTCGTCCTTACCTATCCTTTCAGTTTTTCATTGGCTAAATAACTCTCTTTTCAGTAGTCGTTCTTTCAAAAATTACGGGTAGATATTACAGAGTCCATTATTGGTGGGTTTTCAGCTGTTTCGGAAAACCAGTAACTTGGTTCGCGGGCCACAAAAGATGTGCAACAGATCACTTTTGTGCAAAAGAGATGCTATGACATGTTGCTGTGTTTTCTTGTGTCTCAGGGAGGAATCTTCCAACAAGGAATTTGACGTATCTTCCAGTGTGATGACCTCCTTGGTAAAGGTTATTCAGCACCTAGAAAATACACCAGATCTGATGAAGTATGGTATGTTAGGTCTGCAGCAATACAGCACAGACTCGGCTACCAGCTTGGTGCACAATCAAGGCTCCTTTACGCACTGTCTCTTACACACCTCTGTTATGATGAACCTAGACAAGCTTCAAACCGTCAAGTATGACAAGCACAGGTATATAACTCGTTTAACCTCAACACATCTAGACTGGACACATCTAGACATCTAGACATCTAGACTTTACTGGCCCCGATCGTTCAAACGTTGAACAGCGCTATCCGGCGAATAAGTGTAAGGGAAACCAGTTGCGGATAGAGATATATCCAGTGGATAGCGCTATCTACCTTTTGAAGAACTGGTAGGACCCTGCTTAGTGTATCCTCTATGACTAATATTTACCTTAAAATATTACAACCACCTCCAGTAGCATAAAATAGCAGTTCCCTAGACTGCATGAAGTTAATGAGTTATCAGCCCCCTTGCCTTAGACTTTGACGTTAAGTGCTTTGGTAAGTTGTTAGAGGACCAAACTTCAAGAAAAGTTGGTCGTTTGGGCTTTAGGAGATGGGGTACCTTTTTTGGAGGCGGGGCTGGACCAATTATCTCTCGGGGGAAAACATTTTCATTTTTCATTTTTTTAAGCGTAGAAAACCGGTTGAGGCAGTCTATCACTGCACTACTGCCTCTTAGCCTTCATGGGAAACCAGCAATTCCTATTGTTCCGTCAATGCTACAGTCGACAGTATCGTGTTTTGCTATCTTAGTCGGTAATGGAACTCGTTGATAAAACATGTGGGTATCCTGTCTCACACAGGTACTGGTGGGAAGATGAGAACTTCAGTTTAAAGGTACTAGCCAACGGAATTCACACCTGCCGATTTAATCACCTGGTTGTCGCTAAGAAGTTCATAGAGACAGGGGGAAACACCTCGTTTAAAGAGGAACCTGCTCAGAGCGCTGAAAGCAGAACAGACCTGCTACCGGGGGATAATCTAGTGACAGCACCTGACAGAGAGGATGCATCTTACCTCTCAGCCCCAGCATACTACCTGTTGGAACGTTACCTTGAACTCATGGGTGCCACCAAACTCTTCCCTGTTACCGCAGCTCACCCCGAACATCCAGTTCTTGTGGTTGACTGCTATGTTAATCTGGGGCCCAAGCTTACAGTGGAATTTGTTAGTTCAAAAGGATGGGAAAAAGACAAGAAGACCGATACTAGGAGTAAAACTAGGTAAGTTTGTATTGGAACAGCGCTGAGGTTTTATGATTGATGATGACTGAAGATTGAGCATGGTGAGATCTGACGTACCGTAAACTTTCAAATGAAGATATGATCGTCGCAGTGGTAATTACAATTTAAGCAAATACAAATTTACCCTAGAAAAATTTTAGGACTTCAGCGGGATTCGAACCCATGGCCCATTTTTTTCGGGTAAATTTGCAATTGCTTAAATTGCAATTACCACTGCGACGATCATATCTTCATTAAAATTTGTATTCTGATTATCTTCATACCGTAAACTGCTGCTTATAACAACCTCGTAGGGGGTTCTTAGGGTGGCTTATAAACGGACGGGGCTGATAACAGGCGCTTAGAAAAAACCTGAAGCATTGCTGATGAAAATATGTTTTACATTTACTGTAAGGTTCGCTTAGTCTTGAAAAGTCCTTGAATTTTAGGGGAAGTCCTTGAAAAGTCCTTGCATTCCATTTTCCCTTGAAAAGTCCTTAAATTTCTATGCAAGTCTTTAAAAAGTCCTTGAATTTTCTTCACCTTTTAGTGTAGTGGCCTGGAAAAAGTTTTTTTCATGCTTTTTGGTTGTCCAAGACAGACTATGAATCACAGCTCAGAGAATTTAATGGTTATTTACGAAAAATGTTCGATGTTTTATGCAATAATTATCAATTTAAGACAAATGAACTGAAAAATGTAGAGAAGTTGGTGAAGCAAACAGTTCAAGCCTTAAATTAAAGCCTTATTAGAATATACTGGGAATGTGCATTTTTGTACAGTCTGTGAAAATATATTCCTGGTAGGTGGTCCTTGAAAATCTAACATGGTCCTTGAAAAGTCCTTGAAAAATGGTTGCAATTTTTTGTATGAACCCTGTACTAGTGTTTAATTAAACTTCAACACGTCGTGATAAATCGAATTCATACATTTTGAGGGGGCCTTATAATCGGTTTGCGTGTGTTGGGCCTATAATTGCGGTGTGCTGTGGGGGCGGGGGGGGGGGGGGCCTTAAAAAAAAGGGGCAGTTTACATCTTCTCCCTGGCCCGGGTTAACCTGTGCGAAAACGGCCTTCATATTTGCCCCCCCAAACGCAAAGGGATATCAAGTTCCAAACAAAAAAAAACTACAACAAAATGTCGCTGGGGTTTTTTTTTCCCTTGAAAATAGGGGGCCCACAAAAAAGCGAACAAAAGAAACCCTATTTTGAAAATATTTTTATATGTTGTTTATTTTTTTGTGTGTAATTGATGTCAATTGTTAAATTCCATCTCACGGCTGTCGTATAATTTGAGTGTCTATTTTTTGGGGGGTTTTTTGCGTTGGGTGTGTGGGGTGGGTATATTTGGGGGGGCTTGGGGGGGGGGGGGGGGGGGGGGGGGGCCTTAAATAAAAGCGGCAGTTTACATCATCTCACTGGGCCTGGTTAACCTGTGCGCAAACGCGCTTCATAATTGCCACCGCAAACGCAAATGGATATCAAGGTCCAAACACAAAACAACTACAACAAAATGTCGCTGTGGTTTGTTTTTCACCTGAAAATAGGGGAGCCACTAAAAAGCTAAACAAACGAACCCTAACACGAGGTAAACAGATATACTCCCGGTTTCCTTTTTCCTCTTCCTTTTTACGTTGTCCTGTATTAAGTAACCGTTGTCGTGTCGTCTTGTATCACCCCTCTCCGGGGTCCTCCTCATTTGAGGAGAAGTGCTGCGGATGATTGTTGTAAAACTTGGTGTCCCTAGACAAGAAACAAACACGTCCAGGTACACGAGATTCTCAAGGCAGCTTTCACTCTATAACTAGACTTTTGACTCTCCTGGGTAAAAATTCTTTATTCTGTTAGTCTTTAATAAATTAATTAAATTGTTAATTTATTTACTGATTTTCTCTAGTTACGGTGGCTTATTGCTTTATTTCTGCGATCGTTCAGTGACCAAGCAGTTTCTTGCACAGTTTAATTTCGCTCCACGCTCTCGTCTTTGTATCGTCTGCCAAGACCGCAATACTCTTAGACAGGAAGTGGCCAGGCTGGACTTGGAAGAATGGTGGCGTTTCCGGTTACGGGATGAGCTTCAGACTGCTAACAGCCCGGACGAACCTGCGCTTTACTTCCTCACCGGAAAACACGATGACTAAAAAAAAGCAGCGAATTAACACAGAAGCAGCGGGGAGGAAAAATTTCGGGCATTTGCGGATCGCTTTGAATCCCCTAGATATCACACCTACACTATACGACAGCCTCCGAAGATTTCCGAACGGCTGTTCGCTACTGAAAGCTGTCAGTCAGAGGACATGCGTTAACGTTCATCAAAGATTTACCGAGCAAGACTAGGATGCTGCGGATTTATTTTTTTGCGGCAAGTTCAAAACATTTGACGAACACAACAGTATAAAGCGTATGAAAGACAGAGAGAGTGTAAATTAAGTAACTATTTATAGAGAGAAAAGTTGTATTGTAAGTACTTTAACCTCTTAACAGCGATTAACGGAAAGTTTTATTGAAGGTAAAGTGTGCAGGAAAAATATTAACGTTGTACATTCAATTGAAAACTAATGAGCAGTGCGCGCGTTCTTGTCGTACTGTTTATCAGGCTACACAAGTTGGCTCTCCATTCAACTTTGACCTGTAAACTGAATAGTCTTTTCATCCCTCTCCAGCTTCGAGAAATCTACCCGGGTAGTCTGACGACATTCTGGTTGTACAGACCTGATCCAGTTGACCAAACACAACGAAAGCGAAAATAAAACAGAAATCACCTGACAAATGGCCGACTCATTCATCAATTTATTATGAAGTGATCCACTTATGGTAGTTGAACATGTGTGCATCAGCAAACCTGATAAGTCCGCTGTTTAACACTCACAAGTGGAGAATTCGTACAAAGATGCACGAATGTTAGACTGTGAACAGGCTCCAAACAGAGAGCCTGTTCACAGGCTACACCAGTGTTCGCCAAATGGTACTTGTGCGCAAGGTACTGTACAGAAGAGCGGTACTCGGTCCGACCGGTAACACCAGTCAAAGTGGACCACCTTTAAAGGTGGTCCCACATATTCCGGCCGGACTGAACGAAAATGTTCCCTTCCACTTGATTTCTAATATTTTCTGAAACGACTTTTTACTACCTCTTACATAACTTTCTCTCAAAGTAAAACTATTGATCATCTTTAGTTTCTGTTGGACAACCTTCATTAGAATAGCTTTAAACCACACCACGTCTATACGTCTATAAAATTTCATCCACAAGGTCCAAAATTTTAACCATACTTTGCACACTTAAAGTTCAATTTACCCCTTGCCTTAAAAAGTCAATGCAGTGGTTTTGTAATGAACTGTACATTCCGTGAGGAGGTCAAGATAGACGATCGTACTTTTCCTTGTGCTGATATTGACAGCCAATGCAGTCGTCGTGGGGAAAACTCCATGGCAAAGCTGTTAAAGAATTCCGTGTCCATGCTCTCGCGTAGTGTGCAGGCTGAAATCTTAGTCGCCTGGAAATGAATTTGAAACCCATTGTTGGTAAATTAAGAGAGACATACCAGAACCGTACGACACAGTTGATATCATGTGATCATACAATATTACTGAAACAGTGTCACCTGTCCTCTGCAGAAATGCAACTGTAAATAACCATTTTTTTATTTTTTTTATTTTAAATGTAACCATTCTATCAATAATTGAAATATCAATTAGAAAAACGGGCAAACCTAACAGTTGTAAAACTAAAGATAACAATAAATTAGTTAATTAAAATAGAAACTTTATTTAACCGATGAAAATGACAAAACAAACTAGTACTCACTGAGGTAATAATATTTCCTCGGTTGTCTATGCCGACATATAAAGCAGCCTCTGCAGCCCACAGGGTTGTCATGTTAGATCCCACAGAGTCGAGATGAAACACAGCTTACAAGAATAAAAAAGAAAAGAAACAACTATTAATCCAAAAAGGACAATGCCCAAAGGAATTTCAACTTTTGCCGTTAGTTGTTTTTTACTAAATCTGGCGCATAAAATATCAGCAAATCGAGACAAATAACTGAGATGTAATGAACCAATCAGAAATCGTGAAGTGCGCACAAAGCGCAGTCTTTTGCCCACACTCCTTATAATGAGCTTCAGGGTCATTTTTTACCGTGTGGTCGCCTGAACTGAGGGATTTCGGGGACCGCAGATTTAATGCGCCGAAAAAAAGTAAACGAGAATGAACCCATTTTAAAATACTCGGCTCCAGGTGAACGTCTCTGTTAGAATTTTTCGTTACTAAAAACCTTTCTTAAGTAACGACTGTCTAACTTTGTCCACAAAGAAAATGAACTGTCAAAAGTATGCAATGAATCAGTTATTTGACTTCGCACAAGGACATTTAAAAGAGATGACCTAACAAGTCGTTCATGTTTTCCCTTATTGTGTGTAAGGCAGTCTAAGGATAAAACCATCCCCTAATTTGTAGAGTTAAGCGGCAGAAAATCGAACGAAAGCTAAAGCTTCGGTAAACCGGGCAACAAAAACTTGCAACTTGTCTTGCAACATTGCTTCAAAACGAGTTGAAAAGCGACGTTGCGCGTTTTACCAGCCACGCTTAAAGCTGTTAACACTGAACCTGATTTGCTGCAAGATAGGTTTTATGTGGGTGATACTGAAAACGCGCAACATCGCTCTTCAACTCGTTTTGCAGTAATGTTACAAGACAAGTTGCATGTATTTTGTTGTTGCCCATTTTTCCGTACCTTAACCCTTAAACTCCGGCTCAAGCTTTTATTGCATCGGCAATTATCTCTGGCACAGTGGTGCTGTACCAAGTATTATACTTCCCACGAAGGTAGCAACTGCTATGCCTATTATTAACAGTTACAGTCAAGCTGGTCAGAGCATTGTCATATGCCACAAGAGATATGTTTATCGCTGGTAAGCCAAGTTGATGGCTTGTGGCTTCTACGTTGTCATGAATGTCATAAGAGCGACGACGATACCTGACAATTTATAGACTAAAAGTAAAGTAATAAATAATAGTGATAATACTACTGCCTTTATTAAATTTGTTACTGATAAAAATATTGCGAATGCCGGGAAAATAGAGATTTTTGCGGCTATAACTGGGATGATCGAACTGTACGAGATCTCTGGCGTGCTCAGGATTTTATTTAAAATTTAATGTGTACCAATTGCAAACTTCATTTGTTCGAATTCTCGTCAAAGAAAACTTATTTTTTTCTGGATTTGTTTACCTTACTTCTATTTCAAATTTTAATTTCTTGATGGAGCTTTCCGGGAGCAACCTGATTTCAATGCATGAGCATTTAACTTCTGCTAAGAAAACCCTTTCTGCAACCCGCTATATTTTTTTAATAAACAGATCGCTGGTTGATGTTGTCTTTTTTTTCCTACTACTTTTCACTCACTGTAAATGCTATCAGGGTTTTTCGTTCCACGAACTGTGCCATCCGGTCGAACTTCTAGGTAGTGTCCATTCCTACACTGAACCTTCCTTTTCCTCGGTAGCAAAGTTGTCGAAGATTGTAACTGGTAAACCATCGAAAACACTCGCGTATGAGATTTGCTGAACTATTCTTGTTGTGTTTGGGATAAGGGGTCATTGGAATGAGCCACTTAATTTGTGCGCGAGAAAAATATAGTTGATGGGGTATCACTTTAAATGCTTTCTATATTGTGTCTTAAAACAGGTGATTTACTCGTATTGTCCACTGTATTGGGTATTTTCACGATATGATCAATACAAGCTGAACTACTTAACCACACTTTTAACCAAAACCTTGTTACAGATTCAATTAATCGTAATTCAAGCATATTTTCATAGCAGTAACGTGCTGAAATTACTGTAATAATACCAACAGGAGGTTTGATCCTGGGGCATTGTGGAACCACAAATCAATTTTATACAAGAAATTACCCGTTTATGCGAATATTTAGTTCCTGCTTATGTTTTTCATATCCGGGGATTAAAAAAGTATAGTACTTAATGTTATGCCGATCCGAATCGTCGCCAGAAGTTGTAATGCAACCAAAAACAAATTTTACGGAAAGTCAGGTACATCACCACCGCCCAAGAGAGGTTTATCCTCTCTTGCTCACTCATTGTTTTCAGTTTTAGATAAATTGTAACTTCTATAGGAAGTAAAAATATATTTTCCATTGAAACTCAGTGGACAATCCTGAAGCCGAAAGTTACACCCATCAATTCAAGTCAGGCGTAACAGTCGTCATTTCTTTTTAGTTTAAAATATTTCTGCCGATCCTCTCTTTTTTGCCGCTCAAATAACACAGCACTCTCCGCTCCTTCGCTATCAAGTCACTTCCTGCTTATTCTTCGCTCACGCTTTTATTAACCTGTGTACAGACGCCCCCCTCCCCTCAGAAAAAAGCGGGGAGAGATTTTTTCTGAGGGGATTAGAGTGTCTGTACACAGTGTCATAACAGTACGTACCGATCCGCTTAATAACATCTGCCGCTGTAAAAAAAAAAAAAAACAGCATGACGCCGACTTCATCATGTTTATCAATTCTTGAAATACCCTTTTGGGTGTTTAAAACTCTTGAAAAGTACTCAAGAAAGTTTCCGACCCTTGTTAATTAGATCACCTCTCAATGATTTTGCTTGTGTTCTGACAAGTTTGAGGTTATAAAGCTTTAAATGGAATCGTTGAGATTACAGACCACCCGATACGTCAAAGTCTGCTGAATAAAAACATAACGGAGCAGAAATAACCGAGTTTTTGTGTTCAATATTCAAGAGGAAAAAAGCTACATGCCTTTTGGCCTTTGTTGTGACGCATAACCAGTAGGTGGAGCCGTTAGTTGTTTTACAAATGTATACTGAATCCTACGAGAAGTAAGTTTTGCATCTTTTTCTTGTTTTACCATGCATTACCACGGTTATGAAGCTTAGACATCATATAGTGCAGTTCGCATTCATATTTGGGACGACGTTAAGATCCCATGATGGCGACGGCAAAGAAAACTTCAAAAAAGCAATTTAAGTTTAATAACCAAACCAACAATTTTGCACGTGCATCACGCTTTTTTGTACATTTCTTTGCCGTCACTGCACGAGTACGACGTGAAAATGCCTCATTTCACGCTTTACAGAGGAAGTACACATGCGACGACGAAATTTCCTCTCTCCTTCTGAACTTGGATATGGTTCTTGGGAATTCAACTTTAGGACGGTTTACCTACGTTTGACAAAGCTAGTGGCCTCGAGCTAAGTATGAAAGAACGAGAATTCACTATTTCAGCAACGTCTTCGCTGCCGTCGCCGTCCTCGGATCTTAAGGGCACTATTGTATCAAAAGACAAGTGGAAAGTTTGCCAAACTTTTATCAAAAAACTCATCTGTCCTGAGCATAGATTCAAAAGACAGACCCGGCTGATATCTGTGACGCCATTGCTTTTACCACCAACCGATATATGTCGTTGCACTCGTGCGATGAGATTCTTAATCATCAAGGAAGGAGGCAAGCGTGCAAAAGTCTTGGAATAAAAAATGAAATTGGACAGAACTAAAAATTATCACACTAATATACTTATGAACTGTTCTACCAAAGCAAGACCAAAAAATGACGTCGTCCGATTACTGTATTGTTAGAGACTCAAATCTCTTTTGTTCAATTTTTTCTCAGTTTGGTTGAGTATTTTTACGAAGAACAAGTGTAAATATTTTAGTTACTGATAAGCAGATTAAAACATGATTATCCTTATCATATGCCTCTTTCGACCGGATATTAACTATTTGACGAAACGACTTTATAAGCTTGCGATGATTGATGCGTTCGTTTCTTTTATTTCTCATTCTCCCAGCTGCTTCTAGCCATGCCAATATTTAATGCCTTCCAAGACGATTTACGTATCCTCAAAGACTGATCAAGACTCGAAATTTTCTTGCTTGTTCAGTTTCTTTTTATGATAGTCATAATATGTGCGGGGCATTTTTAAATGCATTAAAATACCCTTGCACCTCCCGTTGAAACTAAAACGAAAAGTAACTATTCTCTTTTGTCATTCTAGTCGTTCTAAACAACCAGCTTTTCTCAAGCTTGCCACCACTCTTTGTAAAAGAACATGAGCAAACATTTTGCCATTAACGAGGGTTGAGCCATCGAAAACCAGCCATGTTAACTACATACATAAATATGGCACTTTAGGTTCTAGTAAAGATAAGATCTTTTGAGTCGTGAAATAAAATCATTCACTAATATCAGTTATCTTTATTATTGCTATCTGAGTAATATGTCTGTTCTTCTTTTCAGCTGCAGTCAGTTTTCTCCCTCAGTTTTGTTGAGTATTTTTACAAACAACAAGTGTAAATATTTCCTTACTGATAAGCAGATTTTTTTAAAAACATTGGCATGATTACTCTGTTCTCATTTTCAGCTGCATATCGCCGGCTTTAGCCAGAGTGCTAGGATACTTGCGTAGTGATTGTGCTTAGGTTACATCAAGAAAGGATAACCCGCGATAAGAACCACCCGGAAGGGGCCGGGGAATCCACTGTAAAGATGAAGAGTAATTTTTTTAGTGTGAACCACTTGTACTCAGTAGTGGGGCTAATTTGGAGCCACACCCGTACTAGTTTTCGTTTCATGAGTGTTTTTCGAAAGTACCCGACGAGCACTAACTTCATTTATATAGGGGTCAGTCTGGGGAACGTACTACACTGCAAATCAAATCTTGGCATGCAAGAACACGGTTAAAAACTTCTGATCATACCACTGACGGTGTTGACGGCGGCTAAACAAAAGAACACTTCTGCAAAGAATTAAAAAGGAAGGTTATCACGGTATTCACTGAGTAGCCAACAGGATTGCGTTCATTCACTTATAAAGTTTCTTGGAGCAGTAAACAAAATAGTTCAGAACTGAAGTGTTTGGAAACCGGGAATACTGAATGTTTGGGTAACTGTAGAGTCTTAAAAATTGTTATCTGGCTGGCTACTTTCTGTTGTGGAAACCAGAAATAACCAATTACCAGACGGTTTAATAGAAACTGTAAACTGTTCGTCAGTAAAAAGGGGATAAGTTGAGTTTCGAGATGGCGTTGCTGCTGATTAGTGCGGGAAAGCCAAAACTGACGAGCCCGTCTACTACACAGTAATTTTTAGGGAGTTATTATAGCTCCAAAAATGGAGTAAAAATTTTAGGTACAGGATAACCCCTTTTATGGGGTTACTTTAACTCCTAATTTAACTCTAAATTTGGAGTCATTTTTACTCCTGAAAAAAAATTCTTTTAACTCCCAGTCTGGAGTTAACATAACTCCGAAAATGGGGTTATTTTTACTCCTTACAGGGGTTGTTTTTACTCTTTTTGGAGTGACTTTAACCCTGAAAGTGCAGTAAAAATTTTGGATACAGGATAACTCCTTTTTGGGAGTTATTTTAACTCCTCAATATCTGGGGTCATTTTTACTCCTGAAAAAGAGTTCTTCCTTTTTAGAGTTAAAATAACTCCTCCCAAAAATAACTCCACTTAGTAGGGGGTTAAATTAACCCCACTAGAGGAGTCATTATAACTCCTTGAAGATTACTGTCTTGCTTCTGATCGATTAGATATTTTTCCGTACGTTAAATGCCATCCTCAACGCCACCGAAATCATGGGCTGTAGGAAACATGGGCTTCGACTAAATAAAGGTGAAATTTTTATTTGATAACCTTGAATCACTCTTTTGTCCGGACAATTCTGGACGGGGGCGGCTGTACGTCTTTAGGCTACTTCAGCCTCCACTAGTAACCTATAGGCCTACAACATGTCAATGGAAAATAATTGTCACGCGCTTAAAACATAGTTCGAGTTATCAAGGGTAAATTTATATAGAAATGAGCTTAGGGGAAACAAAAATTACTTCGAGCTAGCGGGAGGTTTGAGTTATCGAGGGTTTCACTTACGGAGAGTTAAATTACAGTAAATGTATGAAGGAAATCCAGGGAAAATCGATTTTGGTTCGACTTGGTGCGAGGTTTAGCGAGGGTTGGAGTTATCGGGAGCCGCCTGTATGTTTATTCAGTTTTAAAGCTACTATGCCGTTGACTAATCTGTTACCTCTTGTTGACTTCAACTTTTTCTAATGCTCCTTGATGCTGATTGCATACTCTCTCATGGTTAAACTGGTTGCAAATCAGTTTGTCGTTTTGGGGGTTGGTGCTGTTTGCAATTTTCCCTTGCTTATGCTGGTTGTATATTTTTCCCTTTCCTGGTCGGTCGCTTCCGAGTTTCTTTGTTGCTTTTTTCGTGCGAATTTGATTCTGGTTCATGCTTCGCACTTGGTGTTGCATGCGAGCAAGCTCTCCTAGGGTTCTCGATCAGGAGTCGCCACAGAGCGCCCCAGGAGAGCTTGCTCGCAGGCTATGCTTTGTGCCGCGAGAGTGGTCGCATATTTTCCAGTGTTTTGTCCGTTTGTGGTGTTTGTTGCATGTTTTTCTGTGGCTGGTCGGTTGCATGTTTTCTTCTTGATAATGCCCTATGAGACTGCATGTGTGCTTGGTACCGGTTGAATGCGTCTAGGTCTTGCTTTGGTCGTATGGTCACATTAGTTTTACACGACTTATCAAGCTGGTAACTTTTTTCCCGCGCGAAGTGCCAATTCAAGTTCAGTTTCTCTATTCTTGGTCGGTTGGACTGGTCGATTATACGTTTTCTCCGTTGATGCTGATTTCTTGTTCTTCCGGCGTGATCGTTGCTTGGATGATACCGCTGAGTGCACAGGCGTCCCAAACTCAATATTAGCAGATGTATTAATTTTTCTGAACATGTGCTCCGTTACTTAGTTTGGGAGCCTGTGCTGAGTGCACCCCCAAGATTATGAACTGCGCTCTCCTATCATCGAACGCAATAAGGCCCTGCAGTCCACACGTATCCGGACATTTTTAAAAACTGAGATCATTTTTAGCCTTCTGTCTAAAATGGTCCCTAGAGGGGAGGTTTTTTAAAACACCGGTTTATCGTTTTTAGTTGTGAACGGACGAAAACGGAGGTTTTTGAATACGATGATGTCATGCAGCATAGAGCACATGCCCTATTCGAATACGCTGCGCGTCGGCGCCTACTTTTTCAAAAAAGGAGAAAGCTTCGTTTTCAATTTCAAAAGTTAAATATCCAGATACGAGTGACGAGGCCTAAGATTGATTTAGCTTGTTAAAAAATGACACGTGACAAGCTAAATATGAATAACACGGACGACAGGCTCCTGTAATAACCACACACACTGCATCGCAACACACATAAGAAATTATTCACGCTTTTACACATATTATCTCTTCTTAATGATATCGTCAGATCATCGACAATGTCACGGGTCAGACCAAAATGGCGTCATTCGAGAATCAAGACAATCTGCCGCTTGTCCAGATGTGAATTACTTTCTTATCAAAATTCTACATCTTCGATTGAAGCTGTTATCCAAGGTATAGACACAAGAACCTTCCAGCAATGTTATCGGTAGCGATGAAAGCAGACAAAAATTTCATTTAATTAAGGACAAACAAGAAACTGGAAAGAGGAATCTCGTGCTTTATTTGCAATTGCTTGGCGTGGCGGGGAGTGCGACAGTAAAGCTAGAAACCAACCTTCCCAAACTTGGGCATGTGTTTTGGACAAGTTCCTACTTTCAACGCTGGTATTCAGTTCTTAAAACATGTCCTGTCCAGAAGATACCTAGTCCGTTGCGAAATTTCCTAGTGGAGAAATGAACAGGACTTGTACTGATTTATAATGCCCATGTCCTGAATAGTTAGAACAATTTTTTTTTGAAGATGGAAAAGGACTGCAAGGAAAGCTATATCCCTGATTATTTTTGTAATAGTAACCCCATCATCTTTTTGTTTTTAGTCGGCTTTCACCCGAATTGTCAAATATCTCCTACATAACCAAGATACTTTACGAACTAAGAAAGACTGACTTTTATCACAAGCGCTTCTCCGTAATAGACGGAATTGTACAATTCAGGTAAACTACTAAGCCACGGTAACAACTGAAAAAGAATTCTGCCCAACCTTTCTTCGTCATGTAGACCGTGTAAACAAAGTATGTGATCTTATATTTTCCCTTCCGTTTCCAGTTCCAAGTTCTCTTTGTGCGTCGTTATAGGTCGTTATACTTAGTAACTAAGCTCGTTATCTCTCGTTTAAGTGTCAAGGATGAGTGGCTCAATTTCTCAGTAGAGTTAGAGCGACGGTAACAAAGGTGTTCTTTAAGACGACGCAATACAGCAGCAACAATAGATTTGTCCTGGATTTGCCTGAAGGGGTTCTTCATGACATATTCGCTTTAATATTGAGAAGTATCAATTTCACCCTCCTAACCACAAACAAGCCACGAAAGGACCCTCTTCATTGCAAACAGAAACTTTCGCCCTTCAACTCGCTTAGTACAATTTGGTCTCTTTGCGGTGATAGTCAATTTGTTCGCTAGTCTTCATTCCCGATAAGATTATCGGTTCAAAATTGATCCACTCTGGAGTCTGCCGCAAATGCTTTAACAAGGCTCCCACTTTTGCATCTTCGCGAGGATTTTTGAGAACAGAAAAAATGGTCAACAGCGTCAAGAGTTAGTAAGTTGGGTCGACGGTGCTTCCAACACGTTCTTGGTTCGGAAGGTCATCCAATATTTGCCACAGAAAGTTTGTGCTCGCCAGCTGTTGAGAGCATTTAATGATAAATCGATAGTTTCATTTCATCGTTGTTGAAACCCTGCGAACATTCGTTCTCTCGTGCAAGCAAGCTGCCTTAATTTCCGCGAGTAAATTGGTCGTTTATCACCCCCTAATAAAATTCTCATCAGGAAACTGCACAGTTAAGCTAACTTCACGCTAAGAAAGTTAACGATTATTTAATTCGCACCGAAGAAACCAAAGCAAACTGGACGAATGCAAAATACATTGCGGTGCTATTGGATAACATCTGAGCTCCAGGTGGAACTCGCTATCTAGATTTAATTAACCACGTTATCACGACTTTACACACGTACGGTTTACAGCGCGTTGTCGTCCGACTGGGAGGTATTCATAGCATTTAATGGATTATGTTCCAAACTGTACTAGGGACACAGTGAAGAAGCTGATCACGAAGACACGTCGCGTACAAGCTCTTACAAACAAGTACTAAAAACAGACCATGGGCAAGTTGACCCACACTTCCATTGTCACCGATACGAAGCAACAGATATCACGAAAGCGATGCAAGGGACGTTCGGACACCCCATCTGCGAACGCTTTGCGCGAAAGAGTAAGAGCCCAGAATATGAAGAAGGCGTACTTAAATTTACAGAAAACCTTACCGCAAGTTCCGCCCGACACTAAACTGCCAAGACTAAATATCTTGTTGTTAGCCATAGATTACATCTCCCATCTCCGCTGCGTCCTCCGCAGCGAAACTCAGGGCGAGCGAAACTACACTAATTTCGAAGACAAAACTGGGATGCTTCGGCCATTTATTGAGGTGAGGTATTAGAAGAGCTTGGAAAGAATAGAAGTATAGAAAGGAAAGGAAAATCACCCTCGAAGTAATGGGTGAATACAACTGAACTGACAAAATACTTCAGAAACATTTGTTGGGGGAAATTGCCGTTCTTCAAGTCGGCTATCAAAAGGCCAGAACCTAACGGTACACGCCGTTTAAGAAAATCATATTTCTAATAGTCATAAAATGAAGTGCTAAACTTTAATCACAACATACATGTTTACATTGCTGTACAAGTCACGAGTTCGTGTAAACAGTTTTCTTTGCGGCCGGCACTCTTTCATGACCAAGAGCAGCTCCTTCTTCTGTTGAACGAAAAAATGTCAACGGAAACGAATATCTTTTGTGTAAACATTTTGTAGAACAATCATTCTTTTCGGAAGATAATGAAACTTTCAAATGAGAAAAACAGAAGTCCACAATGCTAAAATACTCTTCAAATTTTCTTACTCAGTTTGTAGCCAAGCGTTCAATGAAGACTTTCTGGTCGATGTCGCAAAACTGAGAGTGCTTCTGATAAACCACAACTTTACTTTTTCTTGTTAAGGTCAAAACAATTCGGTATTTGCAAGTTTCGTGACGAGCCTACATAGTACTAATAAGCCCCGAAGATAGTAGAAGGAAAAAGATAAAAAAGCACTTTGGAGAGCAACATAGTTTATTGAACTAATGAGTTTCCATTGTTTGAAGTTATTTAAAACAAGTTGATTTGGAAAATGTGATAACAGAGCTCGTTGAGGACATTTGGGACAGACATCGAAACAAATAGTTTATTTTCTGCGCTCAAATTGTTCGCTCGTTTGAAGATCGATAACTGTTGAGTAAATAACCGTGCGGTGTCGTGTTTTGGGCCCTGTTTTCGGTCAATGATCGAACAAGCCAGGCCAACTGAACTAAGAGATTATTTTTTGTTACTTGGTAGGGGTCCAAGGCAACTAGCTGTTTCGTTAAAGTCACAACTATCTTTGACAAAGCTTTTAAAAGAATTGGTCGATACATAACTCTTTCAATCACGGAAATGGAACAGAGATTTGAAGGAATGTTTCTTGTTTTGGACTGGTCACGTATAAGTTGACCGGTTAATTTTCCATGCATGACCCTATTAGTCACACTTAACATCATGATACGCGAGTTATTTTTACGAAACTACTATTGCAGCAAACTCAGGCTTCTACTCAACAAAATGAAAGATAGAAACTGAAAGATATTCTTTTACAGCCAGAGTGAACGAACAACCTACATATGAAAAAACGAGTGTTCTTGCACATTTAAGACAACAAAGTAAAACGGCGTCCTATACGTCCATAAAAAGCACGGCATTCTAGTATTCTCGGCTCAGCGCATTTGTGAAGGCAGTTCAACTCTTAAACGCCACAGATTTGCACTTTGGAAAAGTAGTGGTTCTGCTTTTTTGAGACTCTAGTCTTACAAAGTTTACTTTCTGTCTTTTAAACTGCTTGACGGCGGTTCAGTTCATGTCCCCATGTTTTCTGAGAAGCTCTACGAAACACTTCGGAAAACTGTGTAATTAAGCTGTAATTTCCTGTGGTTCTAACTTTTAAATCTGTAGATGAAATCCTACTGTGATATGATACCATTCAAATTGACTGTAAGCCCGACTTTGTGTTACTTTCCTGTGATACTATTAATTACACTGAAAAAGACTGTTCTGCAATGGACTTTGGAGTCTCACTTTTATAGTATTAAAACCAATCTGACTGAGTGATCATTCAAATGTACTGAGCACACTGAGTACTTTCTAGCTTCAAAACTCTGAAGAAGGTTTTAACTTTTAATTTCTCCTTGAAATCCTGGTTTGTGACCATTCAAATCAAAGCTACGAAGCAGTACTTTCCTGTGGTGTTGATTACGCCATAGTGGGCGGTTTGCCGAGATCGTACACGAAAGCCTTTCCTTATGCTGAACAAGCTGGTTCTAACGTTCAAGCCCATATAAAACAGTTTTCTGTGTATTTGTTACAGAAATGGCCAATTAGAAGCCAACTGCTATCCGACTTTCCAAGACCGCAAGTTACCGCATCACAACCAAGACAACTAACATCAAAGCAACAGAAGTAGTAGGAGAGGGGATTTATGCTGTTTACTGCTCTGAACAACTCTGTCGTTGTTTGTTATCCGGAACGAACATAAGATCGGAGCTGCTGATTGCAATAGCTCTGATTCCTCGTGAACACACCTCAAATCACGTGACTTCGTTTCTTTTTTTTTTTTTTTTAAGAAGGAAACCTATGGCAAAAGTTGGTACTTCAACTCATGTCACGAAACATTTAATCATAATCATTAATTTAATGATACAGAAGGTATAAACAGGAGCAGGCTAAACAAAACTTCTTCCTTGTATACACAGCAAACCGACAGTTGTTTTTTACACTGGTACAGCCATGAATGCGAATTTCATAGAACAAAAACCAAGCCCTGTGACAATAATCGCCTCGTACAATAATAACGCAACATTTATTTTAAGGATAGAGCGATTTTCGTATCTACCTTGAAAAATGTTTTCGGTAGGTGTCCGTTATTCGTCTTATCAGCCAATGGTTGAAAAGATCAAAACATAGCCTCTTCGTTTTCCCGCCAAAGAAGACCCTGCTATAGAGAAGGCATTGTTCGATTGGCCAATCGTGTAGCAGTATGACGTCAAAGCGAAGTATCGGTTGATTTCTAGAAAGCTCTCGGGTATGAAGTTTGTTCACCCGAGCGTTCGGACCAAAAGCCATGCGCGTTTGTATCCGTTCGACAAACCAGTCAAATCGCTCTATTTCCGTTGTTTGTTGTTCCTGTTTTGTTCGTGCGTTTTCACTTCCAGGTCATACGAAAATCGCTCTAATACATTCAAAGCGAGAAGACCGTCAAAGGTGCAACTTGAGTATAATAAACTGCAGCCTTGGTGGCATAAGACAGCGGAGGGGCTAATATAGAGAGATTTAGCCAAGGTGAACCTCCTGTTAATAAATGTATAATTTACCTCCAACAATAAAACTTGAACTTGTAACGACTGCGAAGAAATCTGCTGGGAGTTGAGCCTGCGATCAGTTGAAAACAAGTAACTTGTAAGCGGATCACTTCAAAAATACTAACTAAAGAGGTTTTTCTCCTGCTAAGACATTTAATATAGCAAATTCCAAGACTCCTGGCAAAAATTAAGGAAACGAAACGAATGTTTCATCTGAATTACTCGGACTTCGTCAGCGTTCATCAACCCACACAATATAAACGTACTATCTGACGAAAATAATACCATCAAGCACCGAATCAAGGAAGCCACTGCTGTTAAACAAAAAAAAACCCTCCCTGAATGAGGGACTGGACCTACCAGCAATTTACAAATTCTCTCTTGGGGATTCGTAACTTTTCTGTTACGTATTAACGTGTCACTTTTTACTGAGCTAATAAAGTCCGAGTGATTGGGCAAGATATTCGTTTTCTTAGTTTTTGTTCTGAGGTTTGGAATTTTCTATACAAAATGTTAAAAAAAAACACGTAAATTCGATGGGTCGAGTCCTGAGCCCGCGATACCCAGTTTTGACAGCTGTTAATTGGCCACAACGTGGATGTCCCACACTGGCTAGAAAGTGTGAGATTTCGCATTGTTGGCGCTGTGATGCATGGTACGTACGGTCACATGTCTAGCAAAAATTTCTCGGATGGATAGATAACCAAATTGCCTGCACTGACCTTGACCTTCCATGTTTTTTATTCGATCACCTGTCATGCAGAGTAAGGGGAACACATTCATGCGATGGAAAAGTACTGTTTCGTTGAATGGAACAAAAATCTAAAACCAGATTGAGATACAGATCTGGGCCCAGTTGTTCGAAGGCCGATTAGCGCTTAACCTTTTCCTTGCGATCAATAGCATTTTCTTGAATAATTTTCTCTGTTATTTTTAGAGCTTCCAATCATCAACCTGTAGACAAAAAGAATTAAAACTGAAATGTTTTTAAGCTTTCAAATCTGAATTCAAATCTCGCACTAACCCTGGGTTATCTTAACCCAGCTTTGAACAACTCGGCCCTGAATAATCTAATTGCGGAGGGGGATAGTACAGATTTCAAGCTAACATTGATTTAATCTTAAGGAAACCTAAAATCGAATTTTTGATAGCAAAAACCAGATTTAGATGGGTCAAAAGAACGAAACTATATATAACCAACAACACCAACAGAGGTCACGGTCCCCCACGCAGTTGATCGTTTATAAGAAGTTCAAAGCAACTATGGGGCCTTAACTGGGTAGTCTGCTACACAGCCGTTTTTAGTGTCGTCACGCATCGCTCCTCCCCACTAACCACCAGTGGGGAGGAGCGTTGCGTGACGATACTGAAAACGGCTGTGTAGCAGACTATTAACTGGGACGCCGATTGAAGATTATATAATAAAAAGAGATTCAAAGACGTGTCAACTTAACTGAGTCTTCTCAAAATCTGTAAATTTTGTTACCTTCATAACTTGTTCGAAGCCTGTGTTAATTATAAACAGGGCATCTGATTTGTCACGGTATCTTAGGGCCTGTTTATATGAAATTGTGGGATCCCAAGTAGGTGATGTTAACCCGCTTAGGTGGGGTAACCCGCCTGTCCATATAATCTCTCATTTTAATTTGATAACATTTACATTATAGGTGGTCTGCCAGACCGGGTAACCCTCCCAGCCGGGGTCAAATTTTGCCATGTAAACGTTTGAAGGTGGGGTAACCCGCCTAGCCGCGATCGAATTCGCGATACATCAAATTCGGGCAAAATTCACTTTGGCGGTGGCTATGCATTATTATTAAAGGTAACAATAGACAGCCACAGTACTGAAGGTTACAGCAAGAGCAGCAAGTGGGTGTACAAAAACATTAATCGCCAAAACACGTGGTTTGCCAGCGTTTCTCTTGTTTACGTGCTCAGCGACCATTCAATACCTAATCTTGAGAAAGTGCACCCCGGGATGGCGGGTTACCACACCTACCTGGGGTCCCCCACCTCCATGTAAACAGGCCCTTATTAAACGTTTGTTTGCTGAAATCGTCTCTCGATCAACCTGGCCTAGGGTACCTACCTAACGAAATAGGATTTATCCCTATTCCTAAAGAGTGGTCATGGTTCAAGGCATAGAAACAGGCTCTAGATCTTGTTTACTTTCCATTGATTGGAATACCATAACTAATAAAAACGAAAAACATAAAAAAAATACATGCAGACGTGTATTTTTTGGCTGGCTTTCAAACTCCCGCCTCAAACCCTTCGGGTTACTAAAATATCCATGGGGTTATGACCAACAACACGTCAATCAAACTGTGCTGAGCATGTGGTATAGGCTTCTTTAGTCCATGGTCAATTGCTCGCTGAAAGTTGATTTTTACGAAAAATTTTGGGAAACTGACGAATTTCAAGTATTTCTAAGACACTTTATCTGAGATCCCTGTTCAGGTAACTATACTTTAGGTGACCTTTGAGACTTTCTTTATCTTAAAACTGCTGCTATGTGCCTCCGAACAAGGCGAACGAACATGGTAGTGAACTTTAGGTTTTGGTTGCATTCCTTTTAGCCAATGTAAATCCGGATTTTGCCGTCGAAAATTCGATTTTTTTGTTCCATTAAAGACCAAACCAATCTAAGATTGCGATCCGAACGATCTACCTCTGAGCGTGGATCATTCAGATTGGTATCAATCTGGTCTCACATCTTTCTTCCATTTAATGAAACTGCTTTTCGATGGCAAAAACGTGCTCGTTCATCAGTAAACACGGCGGGTCAAGGTTAGTTCAGGCAAAGTTATTTATATTCCTCCGTTTTTCTATGCCGCTAAAGGATTGAAGTATATTTAACTCAAGTTCCACTGTCACTCTAAATCCGTTAGGGAGAGAAAACGCTTAGATTTTCTCCCTGTAAAACTATACTGTCCAATGTCTGTGTGTGTCTCGGCGCTTGAGAATTCGTAATTGTCTTCTGAATTTTCTTGAATCAAATTCCAGGTGATTTTAAGTTGATGAGTTCCAGTATGAACCACCACTAGTTAAAGAGCTAATTTTCTTTCCGTTTCTCCACGAGAAGATGCTCAATTTAACAGAAAGAAGTAAAAAAGGATGCCTTGAAATTGAGAAGAAGATCGGAGCGGCGGGCAGCTGCTGTATGGATCAATCTTATTTGAGATTTTTGTTCCGGCTAGCACGAAAATCCAAACAATCTGGATTATCCAAATCCGAAAATGTTTGGCTAAAAGGAATGTAACCTTTTTTTAATTATAGCTTAATTTGGCATGGCCTTTTTTTTCTTTTATTACCACAGACAACGTTTAATACTCATGGAAATTAATAGGGTATTTCCTGAAGACTGTGAGCTGCTGTTGCTCTGCAAAGAGACGAAAGATTTTCTGTTTGAGGGAAACGAAGGCGCCATGTCGGGGCCTAGCATAAATCCAGATTTATGCATAGAACCGCCGGGTGTACCAGACTGCCAAGAAACCAAGGCTGCGAAATCCACCACCAGAAAGAGGAAAAGAAATCAGGTCAAAGATAAACTCAGAACGGAGGCAGAACAAACCGCTTACAAAAAATTAAAGCAAATCATACCATCTTTGCGTGGATGCAAAAGAGTTACTAAACTCGAAACGATTCGTCAAGCATGTTTGTACATACAAAAAATGCAAGAAACCTTGTCAAGCATCCGTGGATAGAAACATTCAAAACTCCAGCTGGAAAACAGGTGCAAGTTTTAATTTGAGAAAAACACACAGTGCATGACTTCGGTTTCATTAAGCAAAAGAATTAACGTCTTTAAATTTCTGTCAGTGCAAAAGTAAATAAAGCCGTGTGATTTTATAAGCTAATTCAGATTCAACCTCTTGCTTGCACGCAAGAAATTATTTTGGTATGTGTGAAAGGAAAATACTGATCCTGGAAGATTTCCGAAATGTTGCTGGGATTTCTCATTGAAGTGAATTGGAAATTTCGCCTCTATAATTAGAAAGAGTGTTTTCAAAAGATTTGTTGTTTGAAACAGTTTTGCATTTTTCATGAATGACAGGATCACATGACTTGGTACTGAGTTCCCATAATTTAGTTTTCATGATTGAGTAGCTGCATTAGTAACATTCACTGCTAAGCATTCAAAATCGCTTGTTAAATTCATTTAAGCTAGTTGTTCACATGAAAAAAATGAATCAAGTTGATCTGATGTTAAACGAAGGCTTTGTAGAGGGTTTAGCTACTTAAAAGAGATACTTTCACTTGTAAAAACGTGAAATAAAGTTTATAATTGAATGCATGCAACAGGCTTTCCTCCAAATGTGTCAAGACTGATTTATAGTTGGAATAACACTGTGAAGAAAGACTTTCAGGGAAGTTTGTTTTAGCGGTATAGATTTCAGATACTTCACTCCCTGACTGGAGTTCACACATTACATTGCTTATGGAGAGGTTACAATGATCATGAACTCACTTTCATGAATTATGTTTGTAGCATGTTTGGCTCAATGTCAACATAGTTTGCCGACTGTTTTGGTTCTCGAACACAAAATACAACATCGCTGAGTACATTGTTACTCACCACACGCGTTTAAGAGACACAACTTCGCCGGAAAAGAAACATGGCCAGCTGTTAAGGTGCTTGAATAAAATGGGATCCGTCCGCTTGGCTGAAAAAGTCCAGGCTGCTAGTGAGTAAAAATATTGAATGACATGAGCCACGCCTGCGCTGAATAAGAATACCGACGGATTTCTGAGAATCACGCCGCGGGGCGGGCCATCGTGCATGAGAAATTCGAACGGTCGGTGGACACAGGTTTAATACTGTACTAACACTTACAAGCTTTGAAGACGGGATTTTTTCTCTTTGGTTTGTCTTGTTTTGTGTTACTTCTTTTTTCAAAGCTTGAAAGTCTTTAACCTTATAAAGCTAAATTTCCCTGAGTTTTTAAGCCCTGAAACCATAGGAGAGCTGCGCGAATGTTCTAAATTGCCTAAAATGTGGATGATAGAAGGTAGGCTTTTGTACATTATGCTAGCATTTTTTCGAGCATTTTAGTGAGGCAAAAGCATTGAGCATTATTCGAGCATTTTAGTGGCATTTTCCCCGGAAAATTAATTTTTTCCGAGAAAATAATAGAAATTAACTTTTTTCAGGAGCCCATGCCCCATGAGCTCCTGCTTTTTTGAACAAAATGAAGGCTAAAACTCAAAATTCCCAAAAAACCTAATACAGCTGTTTTCTTTGGCTGTATTTATGAACTTGTACACGTTGTCGTTGTTACTTGCAACACTTGCACGTTTTTGTAAGTGTAAACTTTGAAATTAATTAAAAAAACCGTTTGTATAATGAGCATTAACCGAGCATTTTAGTGACTTTTTTGGGGAGACCGAGCATTTTAGTAGGAAAAATGGAGCATTAAGGTGGAGCATTTTAGTAGGGAAGCAAAAGCATAATGTACAAAAGCCTAATAGAAGGCCGGCCAGTGTACATCTCTACCTAAAGAACAAGGCACAGTTTTTCGCTCGCTTTTTTTCCTTCCTGAGAAAGAACTAACAAGAGAAAGCAAATAGCCTTGTGAAAACTTCTGTGTCACCTCAAGCGTACAGATTATTTTCGCGCTTACTGTGTATTTAGGTTTCTATTATTTTAAAAGGAAGGGTCGAAATATGCTTTTTTTTATTGAAGTGTTCCTAAGACAAGCAGGTATCTACATATAAGGCACAGAGATTGCTTGGCAAACTGCATTACTCAGCAAAAGTGCAATGGATTCCCAAGAGAAACTGCGGCGCATAATTTCATGCAACTAGAAGAAATTTTCAGGGTATGAATCACTGAGCTGTGGGCCATGTAATTCTACTTGTCACGAAAGGGCTAACAAGTAATGGCGACACAGAAGCAAAACCTAGTGGGTTAATCTTCCTTTTTATAAGTCCTCCAAGGGAAACCGACGATTGCTGGCGACGCTGACTCAATGAAATCAAGAAACTGAACGCAAAACTGGATTCATTAATGGTTCGCAATAGCGAAAACATGTTTCTAGCGCAAATAAAGGTCATGATAGTATTAATTTGAAGGGAATGTCAGCATTGACTGCTAATGTAAGGTTGAACAATACATTCAGGTAAGTTATGGAAGAGATAGTTGTGAGCTGTGTAGAATACATAAAGCATGGTCTCCACGGTCAATCCAAGGCTTGTTAAACTCCTTTGCATCAATTCCCATTCGAGTTCTCAGGTTGTTTTATGATTCAGGCAAAGCAGAACGTGATGTATTTGACAAAAGAAACGTTGGTATTCACCTGCATGAAAAACCTCAGTGAAGAAGTCACTGGGCAGTGCTCAAAACTAATGTAGCCCGAATATCAGTGTTTCCGGGGGGAGGAGGGAGAGAATGGATAGAGAGGAAGGCCTAAATCAGGCTAAACAAACAGGAATGTCTACACTCTTAAAACTCAAACCAATTTATCTATAAATTACATGTTTATAGTTTATTTTCTTTGAATCGGAGCAACCATCAATCGAACAAAAGATTTTGTCATTTATTGTCTGTTGTGAACTACTAAACCAATCATATGGAGGTATGAGCGCTAAATATCATGAATTATTTACTTACCCGTAGGCTGGTACATACCAGTAAGGTCTTGAAGGCGCTATGGAGATATGCTTTGCCTTAAGTTATTATCAATTTTAATCAGGAAAAACGAGAATCAGTGTATTTTCACAAATTTAAAAACGCTTGTCCTTCAAGTCTTCATATATCATCTTGACAATTCCTTCTACAAGTCAAACATTTGCGTCCTAAAGGGATTCACTTTCTGGAATCGATTGATCATTCGTTGTCTTAGCAAGAACGGAGGCGATTAAAGATCGTGATCTGGCTAATTTATTCGCTTCAATATTTTTTCATCTGGCGCTGCTCGAGTTATAGGCGAGAAAATAGTCGCAAGATTTGCTGAAAGTGTAATGCACGGAAGCCAAAGCGACAAACGGAGCCAGTCTCTGGAAATCAGTTTATCTCAGCGGTTTTTATTTCATTAAATGGTCTGGATCAGCCAAAGTGACGATGAAATTCGTGTAATAACAAATGGGACGAAGAAGAATACATTCCGGAGAAAGTTGGCAAAATGGCCCTTGATCAGCAAAGAGGAAATCAACCTGCTTCATACGAAGAATCTACCGGGACAAACAATGAGCCTTTTAACTCAAATCACGGTACTACAAACAGCCATGTTGACACCACTATGTATCAAACTAATCCGGAGAGCCAGTATGCAAATTCTGGTGTAGGAGCGCCATACTATCACCCAGAGAGAAGCCACGGGCCACGATTAGGACTCATAAGAGGATATCACCGTCAAATGTATGAACCTATACCGCAGAAGGGGCCTTGCTGTGCTGAATGTTCTCCCGAAGACTCGAAGGGTACTGCGGCTTCTTTGGAAGGCTGTAACTGGGGAGTGGCATTTGGTTGCGTGTTGTTAGTAATCGGTGTTATAGCAGTTCTTATGGGGTTTTTAGTGCCGCAAAAACCCACATCAAGACATGGAAAATTAACTACTGTGGAGAAAAATGAACTGCACCAGATTAATCTTTTCATTGATATATTTGTGATATCTGGTCTGTCAGTTCTCTCTATAGGAGGTTTACTGATAGCAGTGGCGTTACTTCTGCCTTTGTTCCGAAGAAAAACCGATCATCGCCACGATGAACCGGTCAGGTACTTTGGAAGCGAGGTGTATGTCAAGGCCGAAGATGTACCTATGACTAAGTCTGGAAAGCCGTCAATAGATTTGGGATTTCATAAGGATATTGTACCAGCAGATATTGCCCTGCGCAAAATCCAACCAGAAAGAGAAAAGAGCGAACCCATTGATTTAGTGGCACAAACAAAATAACTTTTTCTAGGGGACCGCTCACCGGAGATACCATATGCAAAGGGTCGCTTTAAATGTCCCTTAATTTAAAATTGTTTTCACGCTAGGTACTTTTTAAAGGGAACCATGGTCATTTTTATACTTACACAAATAAATAAAACCGGGTCAGTTTATACCAAATACAATTTCAGCATTTACAGTGTAAGAGTGAAGTACCAGTAGTACCGCTAGTTTGCTTCCAGGCTAACAATTAATCTCTGCCTCACTGTTAGGAGTCGGGTCATTAAATTATTTTCTGAATTAAAAAATTAACTCCTGTCTCATCCCTCCCTTGAAAACTATAGTTTACTGAAAGAGTTTTGCTCCCTTGTGCGCAAAGAAACACATTTGAAATCACGAATACTCTAAATCCACTTATTAAGCACCCCCCCCCCCCCCCCCCCCGCTCATAACCGCCCAATATGTAGCCATGTGTTTCTCGGCTTTCCAACCATTCAGTCCTGTTTCGATGTCTTCCCTCTTGCTTCTCTGCGCTGCCTCAGTGTTATGTCTAACAACACATCCCCCTTATAAAAAAATATTATAATAAAGAACTCTTTCCCCCTTGTCCCAAAAAAAACCACTTCAAACCCCCCAAAACTCTACACCCTCTTATTAACCCCCCCCCCCCCCCCCTTCTCTAATAAGATTCTGGGAGTTCGGATTTGTTTTGATCTTTGGTTGCAAGACTAACATCGTGTGCTTGAGCATTTCCACTTTGTGTCCTAGTTCTTTATATGAAGAATTGATACCATCTTCTTGTTGTTTGAAAGAGCAGTATGGTGCTCCATTTCGGTAAATTAATTAAGCCCCCCCCCCTCCCCCGTCAAAAGTGCTTAAAATAAATAAGCCCCCTGGGGGACTTAATAGAGAATTTACGGTGGATGGTTCTATAAAAACAGGTGTGGCGTCTGCTATATTATCATCTCAAAAAGCTCTCTATGATCATTTAATGAAAAACGTCTGAAAAAGTAATTTCCGAATACCCGTGAGATGAACCAAAGATTAGAAAGAAAAGTGTGAGAGAATTATTTTACTCCCAGAACGCAAACACGCCTTGTACACCTTTCACCCATAAAAAGTCTCCAGGTAACGGTGGAATTCGCATTAAATTTCATGTAGCCTTATGAAATTTAGGAAGTGAGCCTTTTTTAAAAAAGGTGTAAACGGAAGCATTTGAAAAAAGAAATATGTCTAATTCTCAAAAACGAGCAGTCATATGTAAATGAAAAAAAGGAAAACGAGTGCACTAAATTATTGTTCACAACAATAAACCGGATACGTCCAAGACAATAGTGCATTCAGGGAAACGATGGCATCTATTCTCGACTCCTAGGGGCACTCCCTTTTTTTGGCCAAAACATTTATGTGCCGCTGAAGATGGTATGGTTTCCAGGGTCCTGAGTCTTAAACAGGGTATATAATTTCACCATTTAGCAGCCTCTACAACAGGGTGTTTTTTTCGACCGGAAGCCTTTAAAAGATTGTTTGAAGGTTGGCGATGAGTAATCCACATGTATGGTACCAACAATTTTTTTCCAAAAAATCTAATTTCATGATGCTGGTTTAAAATAATTACTTAATTTTGTATGCGAAATGAAATGAATGAGGGTCAGGAAATAAGTCTCGTGGCTACAGTAACGCTTTCAGATTTTAATTAACTCAGCATAGCTGGGTTCTATTTGAACGTAAATATTTCCAAAATTGAAGCCGGGCTATAAATGGATAGGGTAGCTTAAGGATAATCAGATAAAAATGAGCTTAGGACTTAAGGGCCCTTTAATTTACGACAAATTGACGGTTATTATTTCTTATATCTGGAAGTCCCGGGTAGACGAATCACTGACTTATCCGATCCAAACTGGCCCGTGAGCCATCTTTTTTCTACATTTCCTTACAAAACGTTACAACCGTTTACATGAGAAACAAAGGGTTGGCTTGGCTAGGAGGAGGGTGACCCGCCCAGCCAGGTCACTGCCCTTTGTGATGGCAGGATCGCCCTGCTACCTGGGCCAACATTTCTACTATAATCACTCAGTTGCCCCGCCCAACGCCACTTCTTAGCATGGGCAAAGGGGTCAATTTTCTTCTCATATAAACGCTCGCTTGGCGTGGATGGGAGGATGACCCCCTTTCCCGGGAAAACATTTATCCATTGGATAATGTCTATTGAGAGCATTATACAACTATTTGAGATCAATAATATTTTGATCCTTTTTAGGCATATTTCATTTGAGTGAATATGACTATTGAACCAGAAACTGAAAAGTTCTGCTTGCTACTCTAATACCATGAGAAATTTATCAACTAGCAGATTAGGATGTTTGATTGCACAGTGATTATGTTCTTTGCTCTGTCAAATTGTTACTGCTTTAAGCTAAAGGAAAAGTTTCCTTTTCATTTTTGTGTGCGTGTCGCCTTTAATTCTCTTACTTTATTGACTTATTCTTACGTGGGTACTCCTCCTGTGGAAATCGCTCCGGATAACGTTTTAAAACGTCACAAATGTCATATCTGTTTTTCAGTCGCTTAAAAGAACGTTCTCCTGTAATACTGTAATACATCTTTAGTCCTTTCTTCATTGCTGCTTCCATTTCCTCAATACTTTCCATTTTGTCGAGTAAAATGGCCTGTTGCGTCTTCACCATGACTTTCCACATATGTTCTTCCTCCAATTCCTTCTCAGCAACATTTTCAGCTCTTTGGAGTAGTATTCTTGCTTCTTCAAAATTATCTTTCCTCATTTGGCAAATTCCATAATTTTTCAACAATAAGATGCTTTCTTTTTTCTCACTCATCCCCAGTCTCTCCATCATTTCCATTGCCATTTTGTAGAACTCAAGAGTTTCATCCAAGTCAGGAGTAGTCTGAAAGAAAAGAAAGTCTGCAATGTCCTTAAGGCACTGAGCTGTCATAAAATGATCCCCAAGTTTCGCTCTGAAGAGGTCTAAGGCTTTGAACAGCTTACTTTTTGCTTCTTCATTTTCCTTACCGCGTTTTGCTTGCCTTCCAGCAAACAGTAAGGTTGCAGCCGCTTCAGGGTGGTCAGGTATATGTTTCTTACAGATATCCAAAGCGGCGTCGTATGCCTTTTTAGGTTCAGGATCTTTAAATACCTTCCTTTCAGAAAGGAATCGGGCATGACTGTGAAGGAAGATTACTTGTGACAGCGGCTTTTTCTCAAATTCAGAAGCATTCTTATTGTAAAGTTCCTGGGCATCTTTCATGTGTTCATTGTATTTACTCTTTTCTCCCACTTTTCTCATTTCATGCCCAAGAAGACACAAAAGTTCAACAACGAGAACGGACTGGGCCTCTCTGTCAAACGACTGTAGCATCTTATTCAAGATTTGAATGTACAAAGTCGGCCGGACACATTTTTCTAGATACATGCACTTCTGGGAAAAATCTTCAAGGAAACTTTGGGAGCCGGTATTTTCGATCTCTGGATCGTGGTTCATCATTTCGTTGCAGAAGAAATCAAGGAAATACTCAAAGTTTTGTCTGTCCTCGTTGAAAGACTCAATAGATGTTTTGCAGTTGTCCTTGCTCCAGAACATCTTTGCATTTTCATTGAGATAAGACATAAAGAAGACACACGCCAGTTTTCTCCCTGTCGCTAAAAGTTGAGAATCACCAGGTCGATTGATTTTTCTTGCAAAGGCACGGATTAGTGGATGCAGCTGATATCTGCTGGAACTAGGAGTCTCGACAAGAGATCTGTTTTTCAAGGAGCGCAAGACGGAAACAGGCAAAGCTCCAGACTCCTGACATACTTTCAATATCACGGCTTCGGCAGCATCACATTCAAAGGAACCGGGGAAAACAGACATCAGAACCAAACAGTCTTGATCATCTTTACTTAAAAGGTCGAAAGACGTTTTGATTGCCATTCGGACAGATTTGTTATCATCATCGAGAACTGTCATAGGCTTCCTCTTCAGGTTTTCTATCAGTTTCTCCTCGGTATAGTCTGACAGAAGTGAACCAACAATGCACAGCGGCAAAGGAACATAACCACACAGCTCAACTATTTCGTCAGTCCTAGAAAGCTTCCTTCGAACACCTTCATCGTTCACACGAGAGACAAGGACGTTCTTTGCCTGGTTGGGTGATAAAGGGCTCAGTCTAACGATTTGCATTGACAGGTCTGAATCTTCAAATTGGTTTCTAGAAGTGACCACAAAAGTTACTTTCCTGTGCGATAATTCTCTTATCACAGTCAAGATTTCCAAGAACTTCTTTCTTTCTCCAGATTCGAGTACACCATCGACATTGTCCAGAACAAACGTGACTCGCATTTGAATCTGCTTGCTCCATGCCTTGAGCCACTGTTCCGGATTTTCTGGCAGCTGTGTTAGGGTCTTGCAGTTTACACATGAGTGAGCCATCAGAATCATTTCACTGGCTACTTCGTTGAAGGTTTTTCTTGACAGTAAGCGGCAAAACAACACACATCTTCTTTCGAATTTCGCGGCTAAATCGTGAGCGACTTCTTTAGCTAGGGTCGTTTTACCAAATCCTGGTCCCCCAGTTATCAACACCATAGCAACTGTTTCGCTTTCGATGTTGTCTCTGACTAGCTTCAACTCTTGTGAACGACCAAACATGTGCTCCCTTGGCACAACATCCGGAAGGCAGCTCTGGAGTCGACACATGACCTCAAGGGTATCATGCTCTTGCACATTTCGCCACTGCTTTATTTCTTGCTCCACGAGTTGACGAGTTTCATGGTCAATACTGTCATTTTTTAGCCTCTCAATATTCTTTCGGTATACGCCAATTTCAATTCTCTCCAATGAAGAAACTATCTTATTCCACTTGTCTTCGAACTCGTCGTTAGGAATGCCAGTTGACACACTGTGACACAAGTCATTTCTGAAGCATTTAATTCTGGTGATATTTGCCTCTAAGCTTTCATCGTCTTCAGGAGGCATTTTGTGCCAGCTATTTGAAGGCGCAGGTAGATAACAAACTTCTCGGATCAACAAATGTAAAAGCGTGAGATCAAATGTGTTAGAATCCGGAGGATCACCTGAGGGCGGAAATAACTTATCCCACTGCTGATCGAATATTACTCGTCTTGACCTGAGAGTTTCAAACCTTGCATAGTTATTCTTTAACTCATCAGCGAGTGATTGTGGCTTAGGATAAACAGAATCGAGAAACTTTCTTAGAACGTCAGTTCCACCATCAATGAGTAATCTTCCTAGTCTTGTGCCATTTGTCTTTTCTTTTGAAGTGTCAAAAACAGATGAGCAAGACGAAGACGAACCTGTCGCCATTGTTGTAGTCGATTTTCAGGTCGATACTAAGCTGGCCAAGCGGAGAAGATTCCTAACAACGTTTCTTTTGAAACGGTTACATTTTAACGAGAAACCTTTGACAACTGAAAGGGCCCGTTTGATTCTTTAGTCTGCGAGGCGATTCTTCGCAGCTGCAAAATGCTTTTATCCTGTCGCGAACGCAGCTAAACAGCTAGATGTGATACCTGTAAAAAAGATGCGGAAAGTTTTACCGCGGTGCCGATCTCCTAGGGCTTTGTGTTAATTTATGTGCTGCCGGTTCAGACTCGACAAAAAATGGGTAGGCTCACAACGCTGATTAAGCGTTAAACTATCGCTGTTCCCTTCTCGGAAATTTTTTCTAGTACCATTTCTAGGAAATTTTTGTTTCCAAGCTTGGGAGGGCCAATTCACTATTGGATGTCCAGAGGCCAGCCAATCACAATGGCGGGTACAAATCTAGCTCTTCATCAAAGAAGATTTGAAAACGATCCTCTTTCTATTTTTAAATGATGACGTATAGGTATGTATAACTTGTCCTACGTTTTATCTTTGGTCTCGTATATTAAGTATTTTTCGTTATTAGACTGGTTTACTTTGGTCCTTTCTTTTGCAAGAGTTCAAGATATAAGTAGAAATAGATGCCTAGATGTCTATATTGATTCTGTATTCTTCATTTTGTTTTGTTAATTTGGCTTGAGGTGTTTTTTAAACGGACTTTAAGTAGCTTTAGGTGGCCGATTCCACGAAAAACGAAGCAATGTTTCTCGGAAACACTCTAATTTTGTCTCTGACTTTAGATCAAATGACTTTTAAGCCTAATTAGGATTCAGACTAATGCGCTCCCTAGTTATCTCAATACTATTGTACGCCTGCGAAACCTGGACGTTGACAGCGGACATCCTGAAGAAATGCCAATGAGATGAGATGCTTTAGGAAATTGCTTGGCATCTCATACATAACGATGCAGTCAGAGACAGAATCAGGCAAGCCATAGGGCCCTATGATGATATGTTAACTACAGTAAAGAAACGCAAGTTAAATTGGTTTGGGCATGTATCAAGATCATCAGGGCTTGCCCGGGCTTGCCCGGGCTTGCCAAGACGATTCTACAAGAAACAGTGCAAGGAGGGAGATGAAGGGGGAGACAAAAGAAGCGTTGGGAGAAGAACATCTCTGAGTGAACAGGTTTGAAGTTTTGCAACGCCGTAAGAGAAGCTGAAAACAAATAGAGGGAGAGTGTTGCTATGTCCGTGGCGCCCCAACGATCACTGACTACGTGATAGGTGCAAGGTGCAAGGTGAAATAGCCGTTAATCTGTCATGACTTGTGTACTTTGCGTTACCCATCGAAGACGAGACGAAAGACAGATGCTAATTTGTATCACAATGCGATCTCGCGCGACCTTTCAAAGCAGGCATGAAAATGGCACGTTCGTCGGGAAAAGCATCTTCAGTCTTTAGACCCTCGCTTGCCAAAAAAACGTAATCTCGTACGCGGTATTTACCAAATCAGTAACCAAATGGTTTTACCGACAATTAGAATGCATGGCAAGTCAAAATTTTAAGCTATTTATGTAGAGATGATGTTTTGCAAGTAGCAGGGCCATGACTTGGTCGATATTGCAGATAATACTGGCTCTCTAGTTAACCCATCCAAGTTTGGTTTTTCAAAGAGGAAAGATCATGTTCTTGTCGTTTCAACCTTAGCCCGAGCCTTTAATACGCACAAATAAGCGGGTTTAAAGCGATCAACTAGAAGGGAAGCGGTCAGAAAAGTCAGAGAAAGCGTTTCGTCGAGCGGGGAAGATCTGGAAAAGGTAACTTGGTCGTGGATTACTAAATTGGGGTAATTAAAATGAGGGATTCATTCGAGAAGCAATATCGTATGATTCCCTGACGGTGGCCGATAAGCGTCGAGTCTGAAACTCGGGCATTCACGTCGTTGTTGATTACACGTATGTAAGGTTAAATAGTTTTTATTGAGGGTCGCTGCTGGACTCAGCTGTACGGTGATGCTCTCCAACCCTTCTCCGATTTTCTAAACATCGCTTTCAGTAAATCCTTAGAGACTTTTTCGTACAAGCGTGAGGACCGAGCGCTTACCAGTGGGGCGGCCATCTTAGTATATATGTACCGAGGGTGCGGGCGTCGGGGTTTGTAGCAGTAGGGGAAGGGAGGCTATTTCTCTCGCTTTCTCCGAAACCGTCCCCCGTCCCCTAAGTGGATTTGACACTCACCTAAGATGGGACGCCTGTGGCGAACGTCGGGAAGCGATTGTGAAAGGAAACATCAGGGCCATTTATACGAGGAAAAATAAGACGCGTCTTAAATAAGACGCGAACTGTACCATTTATACGAGCATGTCTTATCTAATAAGACGCGTCTTAGCTAAGCCGCGTCTTATTTTAGACGAAATGTGCCGTTGATACGGAAAGTTCGCGTCTTATGTAAGACGCGTCTTATTTTTCCTCTTATAAATGGCCCTAATGTTCTTTCGCACTTTGTAATAATCGTTGTAACGTTCGAAGGGGGAGCAACCAAGGAGAGAATGAGTCACAGTCACGGTCCTGTGTGGCAACATTGTAAAAATACAAGTGTTGGACACCAGTTAGTAGCTAGGGTTACATAATATCTGTTTCTTTTTTACTCTTAACGCAAGCATCCCAAATCATCAACGAACGCTTAAAGTCTAGAAACTCAGTCACGAGAAAAAGTTCAAGTTGACGTAGCCTTCGTTTCTCTTTTTGAAAACTGCAAATTAAGGCGCTGAAAACTTCTTTTTTAGCCAGCTGATGTAATTGTACCGAATGAATTTAAGAATGGATGAAATAAACTTGACGGTTGATTTCGCTTTTTGACCCTCATAGGATCACTATGATGTACATGTTATTATGCTCAGCGTTAAAAATATGTAATGGCATCCCGAACGGATAGTGCAACTTTGGAATGAATTATAGCTGGGGGAACCGAAAATGAAAAGATCCGCGCAGACTCACGCGCGTGCCACACGCGATGTTACTGAGCATCAGAGCATTTATGATTGTTTGAGCTCCATGGAAGAGATAGGAGTCATAATCGCTGTGAATATGGCTCTTGAGAACAGTTGAAAATTACAATCTTTCGCCTCCAAGGCCCCTGTCTGCTTAGAGTTTTGATTACTCAATGGTTTACATGAAAATGTACTTGTATTAAAACTTTTTTTTTTCACGGTTATCAATCCATGAATGAGACATTCGCTGTGGTGTGGTCTTTGATGATTCCGCAGTTTTCCTAAAAAAAGGTTCCTAAGGGGTCTATAGTCACGCTAAAAAGTCTTTCATTATGGAAAGGTCACTTGCTTACATTGTAATCAAGACAAATGTTATAAAAATTTGACAGTTTTAAATTTGTCTTACGCCCAGGTCAACTGCTGAAGATTTTTATTCGACCGATAGGCCAGACAACTCAAGCAGAATTCTCGTCGCCTTTTAATAGCTTATTTGGGCCTTTCTTCAGTATTCAACGTTCAATATCGACGTTTGATTTCTTCGGCAATTTCTACAGAAGAACAGCTGTTTAATCCAAACGGTTTCCAAATATAATTCGTCAAAAAAATCAGACGAGACAAGCTTTATGAATAATTTAATTGCCCTAATATTTGAGTTTCCGCTATAAAGGACGGTTTCATTTTCAAGAACAAATAGAATGACACTTCTTAGCCTCCGTTTCCTATTTTTAACCGTCAGTTCATTTCTCTTGCGGATGTTTAGATATCTAATTTTCGTTTTTTGCATTAAATATTTTGTATGAAAAATATCCAACCATAATTTGCGATAAAATCGGCGACCGTTCGATTCCACTGAACACTGTTAAGAGGCGAATTCGTAAAATAAAATAAATTAAAATAAAATATGAACTGGTAGCCTAGCAAATTATATGGAACAAAACTGAATGCTTCTGATAATTTGAAAAACCTATACGCTTTGCTTTAGTTTGTTTTCAATAATAATTGTAAATTATTCCTCTTCCTCTTCATCAAATGAATTTTTCCATTTTCCAGTTTTCTTCCTGAATTCTCCTGTTTTTCCCAAAGAGCCAGCTACGCTTTCCGCTTTTGGCTCAGGTTGTACATTGTGTACAAGTGCGAGAACTGGGATTTTTTGGATCGTCGAAGATGAAGCGCTACTCAATGATCGAGTGTCCTCTGAGGCGATCGACGCATTTTTCTGCGGTGTTTTTGTTTTCGCCACTAAGCTCGCCGTTGAATATTCATCAGTCGGAGCTTTCACATATTGTCCTTTCTTGTGGCTTGGTGAGGATCGGCAAACTGGAATTATAAGTATGACACAAAACATTAAAGCTCCAAGTGGTACAAGAGCTGTTCCTACCAATGTAAAATCATCCAACATGGTGTTAAAGTTAATGGCGGTAGGATCAACAACTGTGCGAGAACCATCGCTTTTCTCTAGGTAAACGACGGATCTTCGAGGAATCAAGTACCCAACAAGCATAAATGTGACGCCAATCAGAAGAATGAGAATGGAGAGCGTTAGTAAAACGAGTGTTTTTCCACTATAAAGCGAAGACATAGATGTACCACATTTGCACTCGTGAGGGCAAAGTTTTTCGGCTTCGGGAGGCGTGTCTCCAGTAAACATGTGATGATGAAGATAGCGTATACCAAAGCGCGACTCCGCGTTTGAGCTTTTCGCGCGCGAAGAAGAAGAAGAACGTGAACGCGTTTTGCGAGGTTTCTTTGATTGATCCATCACTACTCAGAGTTCTTCTGCTGCGTCTTGTTTTAATAGAACATATGTTCGTCTTTACTTCAGGGTGAATTGCTGCTGTTGTATCTCTTTCTCTGAGATCAGATTAAAAGCATTTGTATTTAAACTCTGTTTCGGTTTCCGTAGTTAGTAAGTAGTCTTTCCACGATTTAAGTTGATTCCTAAAATCATCAAAATATTGATTTAAGGCTAGACTTCAGAGGGTTGACATTTTCTCGAGTCAAATCCCAGCAAACTTCAATTTTGTGAAAGTTCTCCTGCCAGTAAATCCACCTGCAAAAGACTAACTACGAATTCAGTGTATATTATGAATTCGCGTCACGCCGAATACAAAACACAACACACGGTGAAATAAAGGTGTTCCCGATGGCCTTTGAAAAACGCGACTCTCTCCTTCAATGGGAATTAGATGGAGTATAAAATGTGAGATCATCGTAAAATGTAAAATCTTAACCGTCGTTCGAGTAATGCCGCCAATGTGGCAGCGCTTTGAATACGCTAAGAAACATGTTAATCACTTCTGTTTGAATAGATCAGCTGTTTAGTTGCGATCACCTTCCCCGCAGAATTTCGCGCGTCAAAACAAACTACACTCTGTTCTTATTGGCTCGTCAGATTCATATCCGGACCGTAAGGCCTTCTATTGGTTGAATTTTGAACAATAAAGACCTTGGTGCCAATGTACACGTGGCGCTGATTTAATGCTGAATTATATCAAGTTATAATCATGATCGAACCTAAAACTCCCACTAGGAGTCGAGTCGGTCTACTTTGTTAAACGTCGCATGAAATAGGAAGAAGACGAGAGTTTAAGTTGAAACAGTTTAAGCTGAAGTGATTTAAGAGGGCCGGTTTCAATAAGAGCGTCAAGTAACAAACCAATAACACCCACACGTTTCCCGCATTTTAAAAACCGTTTTGCGAAATTAAACACACTGAACCCAACTTTTTCTATGCTTTGCCTTCTTTTCCGTTATTGAATTGAGTTTAAGGAGACCTAAAAACAGGTGGGAGAAAAAATTAAACAATGCACTACTAAAAAAGAAAGAAATGGAATAAAATCTACATATACTGAGAAATTTGTTTTGGTTTCTGTGGTAACCGTAACCCAGTTTGAGCATATATTACCATAAATTTGTTTACCGGTTTAGTGCTGAATCGCCGAGCATTGGCGTGGATCATTAACCAAGCTGTTTCTCTAACCTGTGAAAAGGATATGTTGGGAATAAGAAAAAAGACTAAGCTCTTCTAAGAAAACCAGAGATAAGCACAAGTTTGTTTTTCCTATCATAAAAGAGAAGATGAGGCGAACACTGCTTTTCACAACTTTATTCACCTTGATCATTATCAGTCTGATCATATATGAAAAAAAACAAACAAAAAAAAACAAGGCATAAATAGTGGACTCGCCGAGTTTTTGATAACTGACACCATCTTTCGCTAAATGACATAAACTCCCCAGTTTTCTCACTTGATTTCACAATTGTCAGCGCAGCTTTAAAAAAATAATCTGATTTGTTTGAGTGTACAACTCAAATGTATTTGAACAAGACAAAAAGGGAGGTCTTCTGTCTCCAAAAAAGCGTGGTTTGACAATTTTAAAAAATTGTTTGAAACCATTACTAGATGTCTTGATTTCGTAGTTCAACAACCTGTGTTTAAAAACTGAATGTTGGTGCCAGCCATAATCGCAACACAATTACAGCTGAAACCAGTTCTAAAACGGCCATCTTGAGGACAGAAGAGAAAGTAGCAGGAACCCATGTAGAGAGGTGGCCGTTAGTGGAGGTTCCACTGTATTAATTAAGATTTATTTCCCATGAAAAGAACAATAAAACATAAAAATGGGACAAGGTTCTCTCCTAAAAAGAAAAATGGAATAATATTTTATCGGCTTTGACAGTGAAATACATTTCTCAGACTGAATATTGATGCTTTCTAGATTAAAATGAACCTATTAAGGGGGAGATTGTCAACCAGTGAGTGAACATGATTTTCTTACTATCGCACGCAAACAGTAAAACAAACTAAATGAGAAAGGAAAAAAGAGCAAAAAGCATAAAAGTAAGCCCTGTATTAATCTTTACTTCAAGCCTGCGAATACAGCCTTCTGCCCTCACTCCTACTAGCCGCAAGAAAAGTCTTGAGAGAAGGCTGTATTCGCACGCCAAAATAACCTAAGAACACTAAAAAGAGTACACATCAAGATTCTCCCTCGTTTCCGGTTTAGGAGAGGACCTTGGGACAAGGTTGATCAAAAGTCACCTACTAACTTCTCCGGATAAGCTTCTGGATAACGATCCAGAAATTGCCAGATGTCGTGTCTGTTCCCCAAGTGATCAACTGAAACGTTTAACCTGCCACACATCTCCAGCGAGTTTTTCATGATTGCTATTGCATCGTCAATAAACCCAAAGTCCTCGTGCAGGAGAGCCAGTTGAGTGTCAATCATTGCCTTCCACCTATGATCATCTTCCAACTCAATCTCAGCAATCCGCTTTGCTTTCTCTAGGTATGTCATTGCCTCCTCGTAGTTGCCTTTTCGTCTCTGACAACAAGCATAGTTTTTAAGAGTCAAAGTGGTCTCCTTCTGACCGCTCATGCCACATTTCTTCATCATTTCTAGAGCCAGTCTGTAGTGATACAAGGACATGTTTAACTCAGTTTCTGTACCTCGATGTGCAAAATAGACGTCAGCGATAGCTTTATGGCCTTGCGCCGTCATGTAGTGTTCTCCTAGGCATTGCGTCAAAAGATATGTTGCTTCCTGAAGTAACGGCATACTCTTTTGGTGTTTACCAATAAGTAACTTAGTCACTGCTCTTTCGGGATGTCCCAAGAGCTTGAGATCGCACAATATTAATGCTATTTGATAAACTTGGTTACTCAATTTTTTATTCGTTTTGATTCGTTTTTCAAAGACAAGGCGGGCGTAGCTGTTAAAGAAAAAGACTTGAGACAACCCATTTGTTTTAAACTCAGTGTAATTCCAACGATAAATATATTTAGCTTGTTCCATAAGGCTGATGTAATCCTCACGACGGCCAATCTTTCTCTGCTCATTTGCAAGAAGGCATAAAAGTTCCACCGTGTGTAATGGTTGGTTCCCCTTGTTGAAATGCGTCAAAAGCGTTTCTAGAACGGTTATATAAAAACTTGGCAGAAGGCACATTTCCAGGTACATACATTTTTGTGGAAATTGGTCAAGAAATTTCTTTGTACAGCTCTCAAGAAAGGGATCGAGGTACGGGTGTTCCGCCATTGTTTTAACATAGACTTGCAGAAAGTATTCAAAGTTATATCTTTCACTGTTAAAGGCCTCTATGGACTCTCTACATTTGTCTTTGCTCCAGTACAGTTGAGCAGCATTATCGAGACGTGAAATGAAATGTGCACAAGCTGCTTTCTCCACGTCAGCAAATACCTGCGGGTGATAGTTAGTTTCATCAGTCTTCCTTGCAAATGCCTGAATGAGTTGATGGACTTGAAATTTACCAGAACTAGGTTGCTCTAAAAGGGACCTGTTTTTTAAGGAACGAAGAATCTTCATCGTCTGTGACGCGGCAGATTGATTAATTGTTGCAGTCACATCCTTAGCAGCATCAAAATCAAACGAACCCGGAAATACGGAAAGTAAAGCAAGTACCTTCAGTTCTTCTGGATTCAAGAGATCAAACGAGGTCTTGATTGTGTTTTCCAGGGAGAATTCATCGTCCTGAAGAACATCTAATAGTTCCTTTTCAAGACTATTAATCAGTGTATCTTCTTCGAAGTCGGAAAGTAGAGAACCTACAATGCAAAGCGCAAGAGGAACACAGCCACATAACTCCACCATTCGTTTTGTCTGTGAAAGTTTCTTTCTTTCTTCTGCCTTGTATTTTGAAAGCAGCAGTTTCGTTGCTTCATCTTGAGGCAAATTGCTTAATCTGATTTCTTCGATTACTAAATGGTAACCAGCAGCATTAAATGTTTTCCTAGAAGTAATTACAAAAGTGATATTTTGTTTAGATAAGTTCCTCATATCGCAGATCATTCTTACAAACTGACTACGGCTCTCCTGAGACTCAAAGGCATCATCCGCATTGTCAAGAACAAAAGTAATCTTCAGATCCAGCTGTTGTTTGCTCCAGTTTAGAAGCCAGTGTTGGGGATTCTCTGGCGGCTGATATTGGTTTGTACTGCAGACAAGAATCATTGAAGACGCGACTTCGTCCAAAGACGCTTTCGATCGTAGAGAACAATAAAACACAACGTGCTGCAGTCTATCAAGCTCATAGGCCACTTTGTTTGCAACCGTAGTCTTTCCGAATCCTGGTGCACCAGTTATCATAACAGCGGCGGCAGCTTCATTATGAATGACTTCTGTGGTTTTTTTAATATCTTGTGAACGACCAAACGCTTCCGGAAGTTCGTCTGGAAGACAGCTACGTAGACCAGGAGTACGAGGTTCTTGAACATTAATATCAATGCTTCGCAATTGCAATTGCAGTTGTTGTAATTGCCCCTCTACAGAGAGTACTCTCGGCTCTAAATCTTTCCATCTCTTCATTTCTTCCTCTACACGACGTTTAGTGTCATGGTCGATGGATTCTGTCTTAAGTTTGTCGATTTCCTTCGTGTCAAGACCTAATGCAACCAGAGAGCGAGAAATAAAAGTCCATTTGGTTTTAAATTCGTCATTAGAAATGGCTGTAGAGATACTGTGACACAGCTCATTTCTGAAGCACTTGATTCGGACGATATGTGCTTCTCGACTGCTGTCTGTATCTGCAGGCATGTTGTGCCATCCCGTGACGGGCTTCACCAACGAACAGCATATTTCTCGTAGTAACAAATGCAAAAGCGTAATGTCAAACGTTTCAGCGTCTGGGAGAGAACCTGTATGGGGAAACAACGTTTCCCATTGGTCAACAAAAATCCTGCCTTTTGACTTCAGGTTTTGAAGTTTGGTTTCGTTATTCTTTAACACTGTTGGCAATACTGCAGATGGGCATAAAGAATGAAGAACGTCTCTGAGAACTCGTGTCCCTCCATCGATAACCAATCGAGCCAATCTTGTGAAGTTCGTCTTTTCTTCAGTCGCATCAAAAAGGGGAGGCCGGGAAGCCATGTGTTTTTAGCCTTTTGCATCACAAGTCAGCGAAACTTTGAATAATCTTTCGGATTTCTCAGGTGACTGTCGAAAGTCACTGGCAGCTTTCTTAGAATATGCAAATCACGAAGGGAAGAGCTTTGAGTGGATCGAACGTGCCATCTTTCTTATTTGGTCAATGTCGCGTGATATTTCCTTTTTGTCTACCATTTCATTGGTTACTTGGCATGAGCCGACAAGTGGACACATTGTCTCTTTACAAAAGAATTGTCTTTCTTGGGGGTAAGGTTACCTCCCGTGGTCAACAACAAATCACCTTTTTCTTTGCAGCAGTATGTGTTCTGCGTGTTTTTATCTTCTTGTCCTTCTTGTTGGGTTATAAAATCGACAACGTTCTTTTAATTTGTGTTATATCCAGTGGAGTCGAGATACGGAACATGACCACAGTACCAGATGAAGCAATACCGATGAATTGCAAAAAAAAAAAAAAAAAACGTGTTGGCCCCTCTAAAGCGAATAGAAGCGATTTTCGTCCACACTATACATATTTTTTAAATCGTTTTTAGTCATTGCACCATCCACACTAACCAGGATAAATCTAAAAGGTCCGCAAACGAAACTCAGTGCCACTAAAGCCTGTATGGTCCTTTCCCGGGGAGGTACTCTCTTATATGACTTATACGGAGATGTGCCGCTGGACAGGGTATGCTTTTTGACCTCTCTGTCCTAAACAGGATATATAATTTTGCCCGAATCTATTCTAAACAGAGAATGTAAGTTTGTTCTCAATTTTAAACTTGTCCTCAAGATTTTACAGGTCTACTAAAGATCCGGGGGACCCTCACTGGTTTGTCGTTGTGGTTTTGCCTTAACAACTGTTTCTAATAAATAAGTTTGTGCAAGTCTGATCTAATTATAAATAGGGTATAGAGCGTTTTCGCTCACTTGATCAGCATCTATGCAAATTTACTGGAACAAAAGAAAGCGTTTTCATAAGAAAAGAGTTCAACTCCTAGAGAACTACTTTGGAACATGTACACCAACATGGCCGCCTATTCATTGTCTCGGGAACAACAATGGCCGCCGTCACGTCATGTGAAAACGCCCTATTGCCTGCTAGATTGATTTGATCTGCTAGATAAAATTTGTTTGTACTCGAAGTAAACAAAAGTGATTGCAATGACTATACGTGAATTTGTTCTAATGCAATCGCCAATAAATGATTTGAAAAGCAGACGAAGTGCATTTTGTCCTTTGTTTAAAAAGGGAAGTGTATTTTTGATCATTTTTAGGATTTGTTTTCCTAAAAAGTATCAGAAATTCCTCAGTAACCCTACCCCCCCCCCCCCCGGGGGGGCCTGTATAGCCCCCCCGGACCATCCCCTTCCCCCCAGCGAACCCAAACGGTGTTTTAGACAATAGAAAAATTATATTTATTCCACCTGTTTTTGCTAATAAAATAATAATATGTATATAACTTTTTTCCTTTGTTTTTATATAAGTCATTTTAATTGATTTATGTGAAATTGTTTTAATGCAATCGCCAATAAATGATTTTAAAAGCAAACCAAAGTTATTTTGTCCTTTGGTTTAAAAGGGAAGTGTAATTTTGATCCTTTTTAGGATTTTGTTTCCTAAAAAGTATTCGAAATTCCCCAGTAACCCCCCCCCCCCCCCCCCGGGGGGTCCTGTATAGCGCCACCGTACCATCCCCTTGCCCACAGCGAACCCAAACGCTGTATTAGCTAATAGAAAAATTAGATGTATTCACGCTGTATTAGCTAATAAAATAATAATATGTATATACCTTTGTTCCTGTGTCTTTATATGAGTCATTTTGCAAGGGATTTGAATCCAGTCAGAGACGGTTAACATTGCTGGTAATCAAATGCGTTTGCTTGTCTGGTGCGTCGTAAATAAGACGCTCAAGTTTCGTCTCACGTTTCTAATCAGACTGTCATGTTAACAATTAACTCTCCGTCTCCTTGGCCGTTAGAGGAAAGTTAATAGTTAACAATATTAGAAACGTGAGACGAAACTTGAGCGTCTTATTTACGACGCGCCAGACGGGCAAACGCATTAATGACCCGGCCCCGGGATTAATGATAACCAGCAAATTATGTTAACCGTATCTTAACTTATTGGATTCAAATCCCTTCCAAAACGACTCATAAAGACACAGGAACAAAGGTAAATATATCTTATTATTTTATTAGCTAGTACAGCGTAAAAACATCTAATTTTTCTATTAGCTAATACAGCGTTCGCGTTCCCTGTGCCTTGCCCAAAGCCAGGGAAAAGCGCCCTGGGGCCCGTTTCTTGAAAGTCCCGATAATTAACGTTCTCGGTAAGCTGTCTCCGTTTACATTAACGATCGAGGTTCCAATAGTTTTGCATTTAACATGATAAAACTATCAGTTAATGAAACAAAATGGAGTAGTTTGCTAGCCGGGACCCGCGTTCTTTTTCTTTGTATTTCGATTAGAATGTTTGATTTCGAGCCTGAAAAGTAAGCGGGACTTTCGAGAAACTTACGGACCTGGCCCCGGTTGTTCAAACGTTGGATAGCGCTATCTTGGATAGCGCTATCTGACGTTTGAACAACCGGGGCCAGGTTGCTCTGCACTTTACCCACATTTGGGAAGGCCTGGTACCAAAAGGGTAAAGTTATGTTTCCAAGGCAACTGATCTTGACAGCAAAATGGCGGACAGTGTGCAAGTCGAAGAACCGCAAAGAAGGGCTGTTGGAGGAACTATAACAACAGGAAGAATTCATAAAGGTATGAAGATGCACAATTTCATGATAAATACTTCAGTCTTTAGCAGTTATAGAAAAACGGAAACATAGTAAACATATAAGCTCACTCAACAACGTTTTTTCATCGGGAGGCTCGGCGCTCGCTAATGTCCAACCAGAGTTTTGGCTTTAACAATCGAAATTTTATCAGGAGCCCATGACTAATTTTACACAAAGAAGCAAAAGAAACAAAGAACTGTTTCTCTGGATGTGTATGAAATTAATATACATGTATTAAATGTATACCGTCAATCACTTTAGATCTGACATGTGTAGCAATAATTACAATGCAAATATTAGGATAACTTTTTTATTCACAGGTCATGGAAAAACAGCAGCATCAGCTTCTATACCAAGCAAATATCAAACAATAGTTAGTGACAACTCAGAAAGGAAAGGTTTTCTTTCCAGAGCAAAACGGTTCGGTGATGTGAATGTGGTATGTGTGTTTAAACATTCTATCAAAAGAAGTGTTTATACTGTAGTCTAAATGCAATTACATTATACAGTATATGCTTCGGAAAATATCTGTAACTCTGATCACCCTATCGGAGGTTCTGTTGGTTTGAACATGCTCCAAAGCCCAATCCCTTTGAAAAATTACCTTTTACCTTCATACTTTCCTTAAGTTACAAAAGTTTAGCCTTTAAGATCCACAAGAACCTTCTTTAACTGGTTTGTCTGGGAAAATGCAAATTGCAGATTCTTCAGTCTTCGAAACAGATATTGCACTTCACTAAAAAGACTTTTAGGATTTGTGGTACATTCCCTACATTTTTTGAAAAAGGCCGAAAAAAAGGACATGTACATCTTATTGTAAGCTGCATGCAGTATTCCTGATAATTGAAAAGTATTAGAACTATCATGTTCTTGCTGGTTTGCACATGCTGGGATGCAGTGCTAATGAATTTGTTATCAGATTTGTCATTTATCTCAAAGTTTATCTGATTAAGTGAGTTAAAAATCTAAAGATTCCTTGGATAATTTCTCCTAAAGAAATGTGCCCATATGACCATCCATACATGGGTTATTGAGTGGACATTTTCTGGAACTCAATACCAAAGTATGCACCCATCTGCTTTAATATTTAAATATTTATAATGTTTTTTTTTTTTGCACTTTGTAGACTGCAAACCCAGGACCTGGTACTTATGGTGAAATGAGATCAAGTGAAACTACAAGTTCATCATTTTCAAAAAAAGGCTTTGGTGGATTTGTTTCTAAGGTAGCCATTCCATATATATTATCATTTGAACATAAAGAAACTCAGTATTGCATATCCTGGTTTGCATGGGCCTGGAAAAGTCCTTGAAAAAGTACCATGTCCTTGAAAAGTCCTTGATTTTTCCACATAAGTCCTTAAATATTTTTAAAACCTCCTTGAATAAAAATGACTTTTGTTAAAAAAGAAATGTTTTCCGTCATTTGAAGTGTCCTAGGAACCTTGCCTTAATGAAGAAAGGTATTCCAATAGGTGAATCCCCTTCCACCTGTGCATTTAAAAGGTCTTTTCTTCATGTCATTGGGGAAAAGAAGTCCTTGAAAAAATGATTTTAGTCCTTGAAAAGGCCTTGATTTTTTCTTAAAAAATTCTGTCTGAACTATGTACCAAGTCATGTATGTAAGAAGAAAAAGGCAGTAGTACATCAGAAATTATTTTAATTTAGTCTGGGTTCATTAATAATTTTTTCTATGTTGGCCGCATTTTTATTTCATTGGTTGCAGGCGAAGCGTTTTCCAAGAGGAATTAAAGACACAGGTCCAGGCCCAGGTATATATTAATTTCTATTGTAATGCCTAAAAAAATTGGTTTCACAGGGGTTTCAATAGAGTAACAGACTGTATCAATAGACCCAGGCCCCTTATTTTAGGGGGAGGGGGTCTAGGGGCATGCTTCCCAGAAAATGGTGAAATTTGAAAGCCCTGAAATGCAACTTTCAGCATTCTGGGGACTAAATTGAGGACAAAAGAGGGTGTTTTTATTTAAGAAAATGTAGCTTTCATTCAACTTTCAATTTATCAGTTAAACAATACATTCCTACATGTACAGACAAATTATGAACAAATGATGAAAACTGAATTACTTACTTTTGCAGGTAAACAAATTCTGTGAAAAATTTACTGAAATATAGCGTTCAGTCATGACTAAAGCATAACGTAAAACCAGTGGGCGTTAATGAAAGCACATCATAATTACGTTTTCATTGAGATTTTATTATATATATTTTTTTGTTTACAACGTTATTCCAACTAGTTTCTTCTTTTTTCCTGGAAAAAGGTAGATGACTTCTATGAGCAAAATACCCAACGCATTTCATCGGCCTTCGGCGCTTATTTAAACCCCAAGTAAAACGGACCTGTACTCTGTGCACTCTTAAAATAGTACAATTGGTTATACATGCATGCCCTAAAGTAATATTAATTCAGTTAACACAAACATAGCCCTCTGACACATTTTGCAGTTTTTTGGCCTCACAAATATATTGTATCAATGCTTGTGTGGTAGTTTTTTAAGAAGTATTGTGGCATTACATTTTATTTTTATCATCAGTTTTTTGATAATACAACACATCTTAATCAGCTGCCCAGCCAGTGTGTATCCTTGAGTTCATTTCTCTTCTTTTAAGTTTAAAGCCATCCCCTTTGTTTTCTCCATATTTAGCTTCATTCGACCAACCCAATTTTTTGGCAATTTTTTCAAAAAAGAAAAAAGTTATGATGTAGTTAAACCATTTTTTACATATTAATTCTTTTAATCTGAGAAATGAGCGTAGCAACAGCATAGAGAAAAACGGGAACATTTTTTGTACATTATATATTCTGCATTTTGTTAATCCTAATATGAAGTAAATATTATATAATTTGTCATCTTCATCGGCAACTACGATTTAAACTTAGTTTGAAAAATTCCAATATATCTCTGTTTTAATGATATATCCAGAAACTTCCTTTTCAAGCAGTTGCTGAAAACTAAGGGATCATGCAGGAGTTTCAGTGGTTGATCCTTTTTCTCATGTTGTATTAATTTTACTATAACATCAACCAAATTATTCTTCCACCATATTGATTTTGTGTTCAAAATTGTCTTGTTGTTTCCCAGTTGCTTCCAGGCTCCACAGCAACGATCAATGCTAGGGGTGGTATCAGGCGTGCTATTCTGAGACTTTTTCCAATTTTTCTAAGGATTTTTTTTACTCTGACCAACCAACCCAAAATCAGGAAACGCAATCGACAGTAAACAAGGAAAAAAAGGGGATGGCTATCTTTCATTTATAAATCAATAATTTATTTTTTATTGTCACATTGATTACAAACTTATGGCTTGTATTGGTGAAGGATAGAGTGGAGAAAATGGGAAGAAATTTGTACTAAAAAATACAAGTTTTTATGGGAAAATGATGTATTGTACTTAATGACCTTTTTAAGGATTTTATGACCCATTGACATCAAAGGAACACAACTTTAACAAATCTTCAGTGACAAGGTTAGTGTTCATTAAAATCAGTTTAATATTTATATATTTTATGAATGTGAATGAATTTAACTAACAAGGAATTTATTTTTATCATGGAATGTAACAATAGATAGACCTAATTGATTGCTTACAAGGTCTGTACATTTAATGGACTCTTAGCTTAGTGCGTAGCTCAGTGCTGTAAATTAATGCAACAAGAGGTTGTTCAGTTGCATAACATTAACTAGCCTAGGTTTCAGCTCCCAGTGTTGCCTAGTACAAAGTTTGTTGCTCGCCTAGCTTGCAGCTTGAAGCATATATTGTAACAGTGTTTCTAATTTTTTATTATTTTACAATAATATTTATTTTAGAATTTCTCACATTGTAAAGCGCTGTTAGATACTTTGAAGAAACAGTGCTCTGTGAATTATTACATTATTCAAGTGCTTTGGTTTTTTTTGGGACCTGCTAATTAATTCTCTTATTCTCTGAGTGGCATTTTGCTTGGTGTGCTGCCACAGCAGTATCTTGTTAAGGTTTTACCTCATAAGGCCAAAGAAGGGAGGCTGTAAAGTCACCCGTAGCACTAAACACTAAGCAGTGTCCCACAAATGTGTCTGATCTTCTTTCTTCAATTACCGTCTTGTTTAGAGTGAAACCTTAATTATTGGAACAGTGATATTGAAAAAAACTTGTTAATACATGAATGTTTTCCTGCAGAAATTTTCATCTTCCAATTGCCCTACAAAGAGACACCAGGAAAGAGCAGTTTCCAGCACCCAATCAATATACAGTAAGTCAACTTCTTGAAAATTATTTCTGAAAAGTGTGGATTAAGATTTTTCAATTAAATGTCTCACATTTACTCTGTTTTCTTTGGCACAGATTGGTAAAACTACTGGTAGAGTTTTTTATGACAACAATGTTGCAGCTTGTGCTGCTTTTCGATCAAAGTAAGTCAGAAACCAGTAATACTCCTCATGTTAAATTCTGTGCTGATATGGTGGCTAGGATAATGTTTTACTTTCTGTAGTCTTTTGCGGTCTTTCATAGTTGTGTATGTCTTGTTTGGGGTGGGACTACATGTAGTTATGAAAAAATTGATTTGTTTTGGAAACGAGTACTGGTATCTTGATTTTCTTTCCTTTCCCTTGATAAATTAATCAGAAAAATGTATGACAAGATGCTTCAATTTGATTAAATTTCAACAGATCAAAGAGATCAGAAGACTGGTCTGGAGCAACGTTTGGACCATCACCATGTAAGAACATTCACTTGGTGATTTAATTACTCTGTCAAAAATTTTTCCTTTGTTATCTAAGGTGGATACTGAGAAAACAGGCCAGGTGTAATAGTTAAACATGTGTGAAATACTTATGAATTTTTTGGCCAGGTTGGTTTGAGTTATATGTACCAAATACATGTACAGTTATGTAGCTGAGTTACTTGGGTTGTACATACTATCAAAAATCAGAACAGTGGGAACACCAGAAAAATGTTTGAAGTTTTAGTGTCCAAAGGAAGATGATAATTATTAAGCTAGCCAATCTGGTGTGAGGAACTGCAAACAAGTAGCTTTCTCGACACTGTCCTGGTAACCAATGTCACAGCTGGTCACAACACAATGAACATATTAATGTAATTCCTAAAACATTTCAGATGTTTCAGGTTCTCAGAGCTTTGCACGTGACCTGGACCAGGATGGCCGCAAATTTTAGCTGAGGGCATTAGTGCCCCTTAATCTTAACGAATTTAAATCTTGGCTTTTTCTGATTTTATTTCAAACATGACAGTGGCCAACTCAAAAGCCTCAGCTCCTTTAGTCACAGTGCACATCCTCTCTAGATTTTCTATTTATTAATATTTGAATGGTAGCATTTCTGTAAGAAAATTATCTTTTCCGTATACATGTGTAAGATTAATTCAACTAAACAGTAGTGCAAATAAAGTTGAAGTTGAAAGTTCAGAGTTTGACAGTCAACAGTTGATGACACACACAGCTCACTTTGACTGTGATAATATTACATACAAATTGTTGAAAAATCAGTCCAGGACTTAAGACTCATCCAGTTATTCGACTTTTTAACCTATTATAATTATGATTTGTTCTAAATATGCATCACTTACAAAAATGTCAGGTCACTATACCATAAATGACAGACTTGTCAAAGATTCACCAAAAATTGCTACAGCACCATTCAAGTCAACAACAGAGAGAAAGATGATGCAGTCCCCAGTGCCATACCCTGGACCAGGTACATATAGACCCTTTGAAACAGTCAATCTTAAAAGACCTGCAGCAGCAAAGGAGCAAACTGGATTCCAGTAAGTGTTACTTTACCACACCTATAGTTATACAATGTTACAAATCACAAAGAATGATTAAAGATAGATATGTATGCGTAATATTATACGTATACGTGTATTATAGTGGTAAAAATCTCACAGGATTATGATTTGTTTAACACTTTGTCCCACTTTGATAATTGGTGCCTCACTAATCTAATTTTTGCATGAAGTCTAGGCTTTTGTTCGATCAGTGAACTGTAGTTACATGTAACTGTGAAAAGAAATCCCTAGCTGTTTGATTCCCTACCCGCTTGTTGTATTTACCCGGCAATTTGAAATCTTAGTGACAGCCCCATAACTTTCTTGTAGCTTGCAGCTCCAATAAAGGCCTAGACCCAATGCAATTGTGCTGTGCATGTCCTTGTATTTGGTGAATTGCTGCAAGCGTGAAATTCAGATTGCCACAATTTTCAGTCCTTACAATACTGGTAATATTCTTCTTGATTATACATACACTAGCTGGAAGAAAAAATAGGTTTAAATTTGACATTTTCGGGTTTTTTAGCCAATCAACAGTCTGAACATACACTTGGGCATAGATTTTGTGACAAAGAGCACTGTGTATCTTGGTTGGGTTTTAATCTAATGTTAACTGCAGGCATGACTGAATATTGGAAGTGTGCAAAGAACCTTGAATAATGATGTTCCTTGTATTGTCTGTTTATGTAACTTTCAGTAACAAGCATTACTTGTGTATTTCGGCACCTGCTATGCCTCTTCCTCCTTTGGAGCCAATGCCAGGACCAGGTCATTACAATGTTGTGGATTATGAAGGCCCCCCTAAACATTACATGTCCAGTTCTGCATTTGTATCGACAACAAGTCGATGGTCAGGAGGGGCACCTGGAGAGGAAGATCTCCCCGGACCAGGTAAATACATTTTTTTAGTGGGACAATAATGATAACAGAAGATTCTGTAAAACATTCAAGCATAAAAACTCACATGGTAAAAAACATGATTTTTGAATACAAATGAACGGAAACAATAAACGCAAGACACATTAATTTGTTTTCGAAAATATCTCATATTATGATAGTGGTGACAAGTCATCACCAAACATATTTTTATTGAGTTACTTTTAATTTATGCTTAGAATAATGATAAAGGCACTAACTATCAGATACGTGGTAGCTATCAGTCCACAGTATATACTTATGAAGTTCAAATGAAGAGTTAACTAATACATTCATTTACTTGTTGATGCACTTATCCACTGGATAGTGATTTGTCCAGTGCATAGCACTATAACTTTTACCCCAGTGGAGTTGGTTAGATAAGAATACTCCATAACCAATGGGCGTGAAGAGTCAAACTTAAAACCTACGGCACTTGTTTTAAGTTATTACAAGTTTTTTGTCATTTATGTCAGTTCACAAAGATACAGCTGTAGGGAGACTGCATAGCACAAGTTTCAACTACGAACAGATTGCAGTGATTGTGAACTCCTAAGGGGGAAACTTTTCAACAGATGAATCTCCTCAGTTTCTTAGGATGGTGTGTGCTTCCTACTAAGTTAAAGCATTTGGACAATTCAGGACTACGGTAATGACTCTAGCATGAAGTGACGATATTTTTCATTTTAACAGTTTTAATTTAACATCATTTTTTGTTATTGCAGCAACATACCGTCCACAGCACTGTGGGAAACAGTCATTTATCTACAATGCACAAGGAAGATGGATATAGTGCTAATTAAAATTAATTTATTGCACTTAGAATGAATGAAAATAATGCTGTAAATGTTATTATAATGATTTAAAAAGGTTACATAAAAAATAATTGAAATACACAAGTTGACAGCTAGTTTATAGTCATCTTAAATTTACAGGGACTGGGACTATTTATTATAGTGCAAACTCTGAAAGTTGTATATTTGCAGCAAAGCAATTTTTTGATTCAAAGTGTGTATACAGTGTACATAATTTTTAATTTGTACATTTCAAAAACCATTATTGTAAAATAATATAGTTTTATATTGACATCAGCATGTATGAATATGATTATTTTAAGAAAGGGTATCCCAACTCTTCAGTCAGTCAGTAACCGATCATTTTCTTTATTCTCCAGTCTAAATGCAAGCAAAACAAACGGTGTGCCATATCTGGCAAGTGGTATAGAATATGATATAAAAAGTAAAATAATATCCTCGACCGTAAATAAAGTAGGAAGTGAAAAACTTTTAGCGGGGAAATCCTGTTTTATGTAGATTTAATCACCTCCTCATTTCTTTTCTAATTATCTCCAAGCAAGCGAAACGTGATGCCTTTTTAACAGCTTTCTTGTTTGGTGTTTACATTTTGTCAGACTTTAACGGAATAAGAGCTTGATATCATTTTTAATTTTTAACAAGCTGTTAAAATCATAATAACTATCCTAGATGTGAAGGTTTGCAAATAACAGCTTACATTCAGTAAAGAAAAAAATATGATAAACCACTGGCAAAAAAGAGCCCCACTGGCAAGCCCCAATTATGCTATAAAGATGCATGTCTGCAGGAGGGACTGAAGGCCTTGGGCATTGACATCAACATTCAGCTTTGAAGCAGGCAGAGCATGAAGGCCTTTGTGAGTTTAAAGAGACCTTACTGAATAGGCAGAAATGAAGAGAGAAACAAGGAAGGCCCAAAACCAAGGAGGTACACCAGCAACTGACTAGATCTGCTCACGGTGCAGCACTTTAGTCTTTCAAGACTGAAGGTTGCCAATCTTAAGATAAACCTGGTTAAAGCAAAACACAGCAAAGCAGCAGTATACAAGTGCTGCATGCTACTGTAGATCTGGTGTAACCAACATACCGTAATCATAATGTAGACCTTTTATACTGAATTTGAATAATTTTATTTTATAATATTTTGTTTTGGCATCTAACCAGCCTCACTAGCCCTGTGAAAATACACACTGCCAAGGGCAAACAAATGTCATGTTTAACTCAAGATGAAAGAATATTCATAGAATTCTCCAGAGGCTATTACTTTTGTAAGAGACAAGGAGACTGAATGCAAAAGCTTACCACTTCTCTGTCATTTTTAACACTTTATTCTAAACCTTTAAGTATAAAGTAACTCTTACAAAACAGTTATTACCTTTGTTGGTTTTAGATTGATTTGATGTTGAAATAAAGACAGTATTTAATACAGAAAATCTTTTTTAACTCAACACTTGCTACTATATTAAAGATTATTATCATTATTATCATGGCATTTTTATTACATTGGCTATTTACTTCCAACTCTTAAAAAATTAATTTGAAAAAATTCTCACTGTAACATTCTTAGAAAGTTCTTTTGCTGTGGAAATGAAAAGAGTGAATTTTATATACCTCACAACAGTAATGTAACTGTACAAAGTGTGCAACAGGCAACAGAACTGTGGTTGTTGATACATTCTTGAGAGATGACATAAGTTATTTTAACTTTAGGCAAAATATCTTTATCAAAGTTTGACAACCTTAACTTAACATACCAAAGTACAAAAAGATTGAACTCGAACAAATGCAACATAATGTCCGCTATTACACTAATGCACACTGCAGTTAACCTTTAGCAATCCAGGAAATTTGCTGCCATTAACAACTCCAAGGCGATCTCTGGAGCAATGGGGAATTCTGGGATCTCTGTGCTGCTATTGGTATATCGCACTTTGTACATAAAATAAGTACAGACTTTGGCAAGCACATGCGATCTGCAACAAGGAGTTGTATGAAGAAGTTTGTTAGTTTTCTCATGCATTTTGTAAGTGTCCTCTGTATTATGTACAGTGGAAGCCCACTCTACAGACACCCACTTCATATGGACACCTGCATATGTTGTAGTTCAATTTTGCTCATGCTACAAATTGTCTTGTACTGGTACAATTATTTTTAAACTGGTACAAAATTATTGATCTAGTACAAAATATATTAATCTGATCTCATTATATCTTTCTTTCTGTGTTGGACCCTTGTACTGTGGCCAAGTTTCATTTCAGGGTTTTCAATAAGATTTTAAGTAAGTAGTAGGTGGCAAAAGCTTTGGAGTAAGTGGAGAATGAAAAAACTCATAGCCAAGGTGCGACTTGTGAGCTCCTGGAAAAATTTTGAAATTTGGGCCTCTTGTAATGCAGTTCCAGCATTCTGGAGCAAAAATTAGAGTGTTTGACAGAACACAGACATCATTACATCTTGGCTCTTTTATTCAGTGTCAGCACATGAATACTCTATTTAAACTGGCCGGGATAATTTCCATAAAAAAGTACCCTGCATTTCCTGCCTTTTTGTGGCTGTTCCTGCAGACTGTCCAAACTTCGGGCTATGAAAAATAGGGAGAAATTTTTGTGCGCCGAAAGCAAGAGGTGCTGGGGGTGTCTCGGGGCATGCTTCCCCAGAAACTTTTGAAATTTTAAGGCTCGGAAACACCATTTCTAGCATTCTGGGATGACAATTTCTGTCAAAAATGTGTGGTAAATTGATTGTTAGTTTTAAGATTGTTTACCCTTAAGGTGTCTTGACCCAGCATTTTTATAGGTTTTTAGAAGTTTTCAATTGACATGAAATTCAGTGATTTAATAATACACTGACCAATAATGTACTAAAACAGTCTGAAAAAATCTATCAACGAATTTTGTTTTAATTGCTGTTTCCATGAAAGTAGCCTTAGATATTACAAAAAGAACTCAGCATTGCATTTTACCCTGATTCATATGCATTCATGTGTTTGAAATCGCACAAGTGTACTTACGTTCAGCAGCTTCTAGAGTGTATAACGAATGAGTGATAAAACCTTTTCAGAAACATCCAAAAAGTAACTCCAGTCTTCAGTGCATGCATAATTTATACTCTTTATAGAAATTCCGGGATATCTCGAAATTCCTCTTATAGACTTTTGTGAAACATTGCACAGCTGAAGACATTTTATCCAAAGAATATGAAGCTTAAAGCATTTCAAAAGAATTTAATGCCGAACAGGGCTGAAATTCAATTTAGAGCAAAACCATTGTGACGTCATTGCCACGTGACATTATTCCAATCAACCAAAAAATAATACCATAATAAATTTTAGTCTAAGTGTAGTCCATGGGTCATAATTGTTTTACAGTATAGATCGATTTGTTTAGGTATAGAAGATTCAAAGATGGAGGGTGTGCCTATAAAAATACTGGGTCGAGCCACCTAAACATGCATTAAACTGGATTGGTTTTCTTATTATTCTTGGCTATCAGCAGGACTTGTGGCAGGGGCCATAAGTAAAACGCTGGGAATTGTTTTCACACTGAAAGAAAGAAAGCAACTCTGAAGAAGCGAAGTACCGTTCTAAACGGTACTTCATGTACTCTACACCAAAAAGTAGGAATGGCTACCAAGCATGTAGGAAGGGCTACTAAGCCATAACTGTCAAGCGATGGTGGACACAACTACAAACCCTGGCGATCGCATTGCCAAAACAATACTCGATTTTATTTTATTTCTTGCCGTTTTTCATTTTTTCAGAATATCAGAGTGAAGTGTACTCTATTGTAACTTATGACAATTGTACAAAAATATCAGAATGGATGTAAAAATCAGGATTTTTCCTATACTGATCACATGTTGGTCAAGATTCGGGATTTTCAATCAAAATCGGGGTAATCCCAACGAAATCGGGTTGTTTGGACAGTCTGTCATTGTTCCTACCCCTCTTCCTCTTTGTCTGCTTTAGTCTTTATATCAATACAACATGTGTCTGTGAAGTTTTTTCTTGAGAGACTGCTTAATACAGACACCCAGGTAATAAGGATACCATGGCATGTCCCCTTGGTGTCTGTACTAACCAGGTTCCACTGTACTTCATTTCCACACAAATAAGTTACAATGAATTGAATTTTTTCCAAATGAAACTAATCCCATATAAACCCTAAAAGTGCTTCATTATGCAATACACTGTACATGTATATGCCAGTGCAGTGTTCTCTGTAAATTTTAGCTAACTGGGTAAGGGAACATTCATGGCCTGTAAGGCAAAAAAAGGGCCCCTGGGGGTTGGAGGGGTAGCGAAGTGAGGGACATCATTTCCTCACTTCAAGACCTATTTTATGCAAATCGACCATTGTTATCTTTAGGCAACAATTTAAAACGTTCGATTCCAATAATTTTACTCTCACATCAACGTTCTCTTTCCAAAATGCATGGCCCATAAAAAGAAAAGCTGTGTATACTTTCGTAATTTTCCATATATTAATTCACTTTCTTTTGAGAATCAGATCAGATCACAACTTGCCTATTTTTTAAAACAAATTATTTTTTTAGTAAACCTTCAAGAGGTTGCAGGCGGTAAGAAGTGTTGCTTCAGGTGGTAAATTTTACTGGTTATCGCCTGGTAGGGAGAACACTGCAGTGTATTTGTTTTCAACAAGCGTTCATGTAGTGAGTTTGGGACCCCTGTGAATACAGACTCTTGAACTTCTGCAGCTGCCCTCTATTTCATAGCAGCTACATTTACACCTGTAGTTACATGCATTGAAACCTTGATACAACGAACCTCTATACACTGTATAACAAAGTCCTTGGCTGGTATAATGAACAATATTCATTGCCCCAGTGATAGAGATTTTTTTTATTATAAGGAAAGAGCCTACAATGAATCCTTGTTTTGGCAAACACATTTTGCCAGTCCCTTTACCCTCAGTTTAATCAAAGTTCCAACATATGCCAGAGTCTATGTGAGCAAAAGAGAAAAGAAGAGAAATTTGAATAAGATTATGAAGTACTTACGGAATTTCCCTGAAGTAAACTTCATTGGTTTCATTCTCATGAAACTGACCTGCAAGTAAGACAAAAAATTTTCGAGGCCTGCATTCTGAACCATGATTGCTTTTCAAAAGACGGAGGATCTTATTAATTTGCTTCATTTTTAATGCACTTGCTCCAAAACTAACCTGCATGTTGCAGGAGGCAAGCAAAACGGAAATTAACTCACAGCACTTTAACCTGTGGATTTTTTCTCTGTTTCACTTATGGGATGCGTACTTAATGAGTCTAATTTGCAGATGATTTGTACATTGAAAAACAATCTATTACAAGTCATGATCATTTCATTTGTAAGCATTTAATGGTTATTGACAATAATGACCAGCTTCTATCATAAAAAGTTAAAGGTAAGAGTCAGACTAAACAGCTGTCACTAAGATTTCAAGTTGTCAGGTATATGCACTAGAAGGAAGGAAATTAAAGAGCTAGGAAGTTCTTTTTGCTCCATTTTCCCATTGTTTCCTCCGAAAAAAGCCAGGGGTCATGATTCTAGTAGGGTTAGGGTTTAGCAGCCAGGAGAAATCCCCGGTCTCCAGCCCCTAATGACAGCTCTTCAGAGTATGATCACTTAGTTTTTTTAAGAGTCTTACCTGGACCACTCAACATGGCCTTGATTGTGCCTGAAGTCAGGGCATAATCCCTGTTGATTATAAATTCATGTTCATCACTGGAAATCAGCTTCACATAGGTAGCATTTGGACCTTCACATCCTCCATACACTGGCTCTGTTTGGCCTTCATCTCCTTTCTTATCTTCAGTGTCTGTCATCTATTTGTTAGAAACAATATTTTTTAATAGGTAGCCATCACTTTTCCTTAAAATAACAAACCTGCATGAAGTGCCGAACATTTCAATGAACAACAATAATTTTTCACTTTGGGAATGGATACAAAAACCGTTTGAACGGACATCTAAACATTCCAGTTAGTACGCAGCTCTAAAAAAACCACTAATTTCATTGGTTCTCCATAACACGCAGCTCCATTATGTTTTAGGGATAAAGTCATTGTTATATTTCTATGTCTACTGTTTTCAGAGCCAATACTGTGATGCCTGGTAAAGAGCTGTGTGGCGTCCCGACCGTTTGAACGGATGTTACAATACTTGGGATGAATACTAATTTTTTTTAATGGATATGCAAATCATTTGAATGGTTGATCAATCACTTTGAATGGCCCTTTCAACGCGTTTGACTGGATTACAAACACTTATCCTCTAGGAATGGATAACCTGGTGACATTTTCCACCAAGACAAAACATTCATCTGTAGAAAAACAAGTCGAGAAGGGTGTCATACTTTCTGATGGTCAATGTACTATAAATTGGATTAGCTAAGAGATTTATTGGGTCCACCATGTTAACTACTGGGTCTTCCAGTAATTTATTGTGACAGCCATTAAAATTTCATTATTATTATTGTTGTTATTATTATTATTTTGTAATGGGCATTTCCTTTTTTTCCTTTTTGTTTTTTTTATTTTGCCCTCCCCAATTTTGTTATCCCTAAAACACAGGCCAAGACCGCAGAGGCTATCGACATGTCCACATTTTGTCCAAGTCTTAGAGTTAAGGAGCCCAACACTCATCACAGAATACATGTTTCCTAGTTGCAAATCACAGAAGTGGTCTCTCAGAGACGTCTCTTTTGTAAATTTGCAAAACAAAATATTGATATACATGTGTGTACTATTATATGTGATGATTGCTAGCTGACACACTTTAGTTTTTGTGACAATAAATAAGAATTGAGTTATAATTATATTCTGCAGTAACGTATCTTTAAATCTTTCAAATGTGCATTCTTTTTACTATTGTAAAGAAATCAAGGATCTACTTTGACTACCAACAAATTTTCAGACCTCAAGGATCCGTCATGTATGTCAATAGTTTCATGTCCGTTTGGAATTTAACGAGTGATGTACTAAAACTGGTAAATACACAAGCTCTCTTCGCATGCTGTTCAGAGATGCTGCTTACTATTTTACAAGTTTTTCAAAAGCACATGCAATTATTTTAGACAAGCTATTCAAAACGTACGACTTAAATTTCTGTCCATCGCATGAAAGCAAACGATACGTACAATTGCTTGCATGGAAGCTAAAATTCAGACAGGCAATACAAAAGCCGGCAGAAAGAAAACAAAGTTCACCAAAGAAAAAACCCATAATAAATTCTTCCAATATTTAACCACTTGAAACTAAAGGAATATGTTTTGAACCACATGAATCGAAGTATCGCAAAAATATATTTTACGACAAAAATTTCCGACAATTAGACTAACTTAGCGACAACATGAACAATGCATTTTACAATCAACAACAAAGGAAGCGACGAAATAAGTGAAAATCGTCTTCGAAGAGAACCGTACATGTAAATTTACCTCTGCAGGTTTTTAAATGTTTCTGATAAAGGTCCAGACGGCCAGAAAACGACGAAAAACGAAACAAAAGTGTTCCCACACTGCCGGTCACAACGCTTTCCGAAAACTGCCTTGCTCTTACTAGTTCCAGATTCCTCACGGTCAGAATTTGGCGGGAGAACTTGGATCCTGGTTTTGGCGGAGCTTTGGCNGCGAAATCAACTCATAAATTAATCGGATGCACAATCAGAAAAAATACTCGCCTCTCTGGAAATGTTCAAAACTTTTTACCGTATTCCACCTCAGACGGACGGAATGATCTGTTTTTCCTTTAACATTGGTTTTTTCTGAATCCAAAGTAATTTTCAAGCGACGAAAAAATAGCAAAGATGTCAAATAAAAATTAATGCTTTACAGGGAGCAAACGTTCGCACCTCGTGCATTTCACTCAGAACTCCAGCAACAAACAAACACAGTCAGCACACAGAAAAGCCCGCCTTGAGCCTGCGATAAGGGATGCGCAGAAGCTTGCGCAGAACGTTTTTCCGCCCTGAAAGCTTTGGCAGGAGATGGCGGGAAATTTCGCTTTTTGTGATGCTTTTTTAATATAATAGTCTTTTTAATAAAACTAATAATAACCCGGAAGGTTAGCCATGAGTGAGGGCGATAACGATCGAAGGTCCAAACGCTTTTGCTCCAACGCTGTGCTTTGCGTAGGTTTCACTTCATTTGTTTTATTCTTTTGTTACTTCTTCGTCGCCTTGCCGTAAGGATCAGTTTGCCGTCTCATATTTTTCTACATGTTTAATTGTACTGATCCAGGTCTACACTGGGAGATCCGACACCACTCATTGGTTTGTTGCTGTGGACTTGCCGACATTTTATATATTATGGTCAAAACACATGTGATAAGAGTAAGAGGAATCGGCTCCTGGGGATAACTTCGAAACGCGCTAGCTTGCGTAGCAGGTGTCGAAAGGGGTAGGGGACAAGGAGGACGGGGAAAGGGGGATTTCCTCCCCCTCTCCTCCTATTTTTGCGCCTGCCATGCAGGCTAGAAACGCGCGTGATCAGGAGCCCATGGGCTCCTGGCGTGATTTAATTGCGTTTTGCGCATTCCATTCATTCTTAGTGGAAGTACCAAATGAATGCCATTCTCGTCCCCAGAGCCCGTCTTTCTTGGTCACGTGGTTCGTTACAAATTAAGGCGCGTGGCTCTGGGGACGAGAATGGCTTGCTACATACATGCGATGCATGCGTAATAACAACCTGCAGATTAGGATTGCGGGCTCCTCCTCGGGGAAGGAGGCCCGTGAAATGTCTGGGATGGGAGGGTAGGAGAGAATTATGGGCTGCTGCAAGCTCTTGGCTCCTGACAGGGTCAAGTGTGTAACTGGGGAGGGCAGGTTTTAAAACCTGCTCTAATATGGGAAGCTAAGATGTACTCGTGCTCAATCCTTTTGGTTGGAGTAAATTGGAACCCAGTGCCCAGTGGAGTTGCTGTTGTTAGAAATAGGGTAGCCAAAATTGCAAAGGTCCCGTGTTCCATTTGACACTCCTACATTTGTAATTATAGTCAAAACGAAATGAGTGCGTGATAGTCGATGACTGTAGTCATCCAGTTACATTTGCTTAAAGAAAACTAACCCATGCCATGTCTAATAATAACTGTAATAATTATTTTCGAAGGGTGTCGATCATTAGTAGAACGAAGAAATTGTGTTGCGGAACCCGCAGATTATGTCTGTGAATGGAATTGGTGTTGGCAAATTTCTCTGATATATATTCGGGTACTAGACTGTTCACTATTTGGAACATTAACGTTTTTAATTGGTTCGTTGGCCTGTCGGCGAGGCTCATCCAATACAGATCACGAAGGATCTGGGGTTATCTGACATCCCAGCCAGTTCCAGTTATCATACGTGCGCTCTGTTTTGTAGTTTCTCAAGTCTTTGACTAAGACCAGTGCCAATATTTCCCCAGACAACACTACAATAATTAAGATGATGCAGAATCATTGGTTTACAAAGATACGTCATATATCCAAATCATGCACTTTTGTCACACTTCCTCAAGTCATTTGAACAAAGTTTATCGACGTGAAAAGAATTCAGGGAAACACCTTAATTAAGGGTGCTGTTGAGCAAAGGAGGAGCCCAAGAGTCCACAAATGTCGCCAAATAAGGATAAGGTCATCAACGAGTCGTATGCAATTAATGAATGTGATTTGCTACTGTACTAGAACTGCTACAACGAGTCAGCTACAGGAAAAGGACTCCAAACTTCGAGGAAGCGGCATTGGCCAATAGCGAAACAAGTATGCAATTCTAGAGATCACGCAGAAATTTGTTGTAAACTATGTCAGCTGAACTGCAAGTCGGCAAAACCACAGGACTGGATAGTAGAATTTGCCGTGATTCCTGCGGGCAGCCCGCTCGGCCCTGCTATAACGTCAGTCGTCCTCGACAAAAGACATCAGTGTGAGTATCAGCACTGAAAGAAACCTGGCGTGTTGAAAAAAAGATAAATTCTGTCCTGCCTAGCTGGAGACCGACTGCCAGAGAGTAGACAGTTATATCATTTAATCAGCATTTTATCCATCCAGTCTAAAGTTCTCGAAAGGCACGTACACACCTCATTTTATGAGTACCGATGACAGCAAACACAATCTTCCGAGTATCCACTGGTCAGCATTCCGTTCTTATCACTTACGATGCAGCTGTGATTATAAGTAAGTAGACAGCTTAGTTACCAACAGGGATATGGGACTGATTTCTGGCTTAAATCTTATTATCTCAATAGGCTTTTAACCTATTAGCTACAACAGCTGATCATGCGACATACACTGCATGTTAAAGAAACTCTCCTTCTACGGAGTCTCAGGAAGATCTCTCTGGAATGGTTCAATTCCTATTTTGAAGACCGCAAACTGAGAAGGTCATGATCCAAGGTCGACTTTCCGTTTCTCAACCTATTACTGCCGGCGTTCCTCTAGGCTCATTCCTAGGTTCTCTATTATTTAATTATACTTTTTGAGACGACCTAGCATTTTGAGTCTTCATGCAACAGCATTGTTATAACTTATGCTGAAGAGCAACACAAATTTCATTCGTATGTGGACGCACTGTAGGTAGAGACTATCGCCAGTCATGAACAAAGGCACCTAAGCAGAAGGGTAGGTGTTAATAAAGAGGTTTTAAACCATAGCTGCCATTGGAAGACAAAGTCAGTTGAGTTTTCAGCAAGCCGAGATTTTGGGTTTGAATTAAACTGCAAAAATCTTACTACTCAAGACAGACAGCTGTTTAAACTGAGACAAACATGGCACGTGTTAAAGAAAAAAACAGGGCAGCGCCGTTACCTACTGCAAAGAGCAAAGAAATTTTTGTCACTAAAAGTAAGAACTTTG